GAGATATTACTGGTTGTGATCGAATCAAAACACTGCTCTATATGTCCTTTTCTCAGAAATTCTCCAGCTGTAGTGTGTCGCTCCATCAGGGCTGCCTCTCCCCGCTTATGTGTCTTTAGAGGACATAGTCTCTGTTTCACTGCATATACTCATCTCTATGTTTCTCTCACCCCCCTCTCCGCTGCATTCCCTCGGTTGAATCATGTGACTCTCTGGACACAGTGGGTGACCTCCTCCTCACTGCTTTTCATGCAGAGTGGAACCATAATGAGACGCTCTCTGAATTACAAATACAGGCCAAGAGCTCTCCTGGGTTTTTTGCCTTCATGTTCTCTTAGAAAACATCATGCCCATCATTATTTTTGCCCTATATGTTGTCCTTGTGTTTGCATCTATATAGTGGTGTTTTTCCTTTTCTGTCCTGCTGGGAAACTTGGAATAACACTTGTTGAAGCACCCACCTAAATGTTTACTATAACACCTATTGTTCACTGTTTCTGTTTCCCTCTTCCATTGTCATCCTCCTCGGTCTCTTTCACCCCCTTCTTCTGTTTCGCTCATTTTTCTTTTCTTCTCGTGTCATCGGAAAGGTCAAAGCGCTCGTCGTGCAGTCCCTCTCTCTCTCTCCCTCCCACCTAGTGTTTCGCTTTGTTTGCTGTTTTCAAAAGGTCAAGCACTGTCCATAGTTAAAGTGTACATTTAGTTGGTGCTAGTTGCCTGGCAAGTGATATATCTCACATGTGCTCACTTTTGTTTGTTTATGATCTGACTGATCATTTCTACTTGGTGATTGGAGGGGAGCCCACACTTTAGGGACAGCAGACATTGTCATTGTTTACAGTCTCACATTTCTGCACTTATGTTATGCTTCTCCTTGCAGCATCATATTGTAAGATGTAGAGGATTTAATGTACACTCTTTTGGCCGGTTCATCAGTCCATTTGTACCAAACTCTCCAACTACTGGGTTGTTGTCACTCTCATGAAAAGATGCATTTAAAACTTTTGACCACACATTCCCATCAGTCCCAGATGTACTCTGAAATCAATGCAAAATACGGGATAATGTGGATATTCTAACATGCATAACAGCAATTATTCCCCAACAAGGAACAATAGGAAAAACATTTTGACCTATTCATAGTCTTTTCATTTAGTGCTGCCCTTGGTTCAAACATTGTTTCCTTACTAATGTTGGTAATAGAAGATGTCTGCACATTGTAGATCCAATCAAACGGCGCGATGGGCTGCCAGTGTGGCTACAGATTGGTTTTCTTGTTTATATATATATATATACAGTACATATACTCTCCAGTCCACACACATACACACACGTATTTGCAAGCGCTGCAGTGCTGCATAGTGCCTGATGTACGCAGGCATATCTCTGCAGCACAGCTTGTCCCTCAGAGCGATGATAAAAAAAACACACCTCTAGAGGATACAGAAAAATATGGAACAGAACGCCCCAAAAACCATCCAAAATAATACCTGCCTGCTGTTTTACTGCTTCATTTAATGTGGGGACTCACCAGGGAGAAAATGTGTGTGTGTGTGTGTGTGTCATTTTCTTCTCCACTTGTCTCACTTTTTGTCTGCTAGCAAAACACTATCAACACAGTCATTGAAGCGTTAGCCAAGGAATGAATCTGAATGTTTTTGAGGTGATGAGGATGACATATTGTTTGTTTGTGATTGCCATTTAGACGTCTGATCAATTCTGCTTGGCTTGTGGAGGGGAGCCCACACATCAGATTGGTTTCCCAGTATATGATTCATAACAGAGCATGACACATTTCACAGAAGGATCTATTTTACACGTTTGGGGTAACTAAGCCAATTATGTAATCACACTGACACACCAAACAGTGAACAAGTGTTTACACAAGGCTTCGGAAAGATAATGAATACTGCTCTACGCCATTTAGCCATGGGACATGTCTTTTTCTCTATCCTTATATTTTACAACAATGCAACTGAACAAGTTTTTCTGAGTGAAATGTTGCTTGGGTAGAGTTTCTTTGAGCCGAAGGATCAGAGCAGTTAAGTTGATTAAGCCGATCCCCTGCAAGCCGAGCTAAGCTGACTTCCCACATGCATCTTCTTGATTGTATCCATGCAAATCCAGATATCTGCTTATCCAACATCTCACAGGTGGGATTTGTGAAGGTCATGAAAGCCCAGCAGTCTGGTCCTCAGCGCTCTACATTGATGGGCTGCTATTGATTCTCCATTATGTCTCCAATCTGCTGCAGTAATCCAATAGTATCTTGGGACTGAGGCAAAGCAGAGCAAAAAGAAACCGCTATGAAGTGTCTGTCTCCTTGCGATTAAAGCTGTTGGAGCCTCCTTGTCATGAACAGATGGTTTGGAACATGGTTGTGCTCTACTGTGGAATTACAGTTTCACTCTTGTCAAAGAAACGGATCTCGCTATAGGAAGACATACAGGAATTTTCAGGTATCTTTCTAAAGCAAGTGTGGTTGGGTAAACTGCCTGGTTTCTGTCTTGATTACTATTATGACATTTCCTACTGAGACCAGTGAGGCGATATTTCCACAGCGTTGACACTTCAGATGCATTAGATCTGCATTTTATCATACCAGACAGCCCATGTCTGCTCTCATTAATGTGTTTTCCTCGCCAGAGCAGCTTGGCTACAGAGAGACGATTTGACTTCCACAGGGCTGACTGGCGCCCTTGGCAATATCCCTGAAACCATGGAGGAGATATGGCATGAGAGCCAGTGTTTGATCTGAACTCAAGTGTGTTTGTTTGAAGGGTGGTAGAGTTTCTGACAAGGGTGTGTGGACGAGCGGGCAGAGCGTTGTTTACGTTCAGAGACCGAAGGAGGAAAGAGCTAACATTACTTACGGATAATCTCCTTAAGAGCAGAAGTCACAAATTGCTTCACAAGACTGACAGATAAAGTGGATTAAAGAAGGACTTTCTTTAAGTGTTGACCAAGTGTGGCTTTTGACAAAGGCAGAAGCAGGAAGAGCTGCGGTGAGTTGAGAAGGAAGTTTTGCAGTTACAACAGATTCTGTTTTATGTTTTTTACTTGGAAGTTGATTTGTCTGTTTACTGTGTGCGTCATGTACAAGCTTGACAACTGTGTGAAATGGGAACTGACCCAAAGTGTAATTCTTCTCATTCCACTGAAATTATTTTCTGGTCTACATTTAGCCTTTCGATTGCAAAGTTTGTATAACCTTACCCATTTGGTCCTCAGTCCATCCATAATCCAATTAAGGTATTGATTTGACTCAATTATGCATTTTTGTATTTGTAGCTCTGGGTAATATAATTGTGACTTGCAAAAAGTATAGTTTTACATCAACAGCATGCTCTCTTGTTTCCCTCTTATACTGCTGTTTGCTGATTATATTTGCAATGGGAGTGTGTGACAGTGGTAACATATGGCTGATTAGGATGATCCATTTTCATTCCCGTGTCAAACAATCTGTCTGCCTCTCTTTTGTTGAGAGGGGAACAACAGACCTGCTGCAGCTGCAGGCCTCTCACAGATTGTTCTAGAAACAGTCTGTTAGAGCACCGGCTGGGTTGTGGGGTCAGGTGAGAGAGAGAGAGAGGGAGAGGGAGGGAGTGAGGGAGGGGGAGAGAGAGGTCCAAACTATCTCTTTTAACACTGACAGGCCAGGACTGAGCAGAGAGCTGGATAGGCCTGCAGGCTCATTAAAATTCCTCAGGTTCAGAGCACACAGACAGTCATACAGTGTGATGAAGTGGATCAAATCCTCATTGTACAGTAGTGAGGAGAAATATTCTGATGTATTTCTATAATAACAGGATTTGTTGGTGTTAAAAGCAACCTTTGCCTCAGTTGCACTCTCACAAAGTCATTTGACAAACGTGATCCTTTTACTAAGGATGAGGTAACACGTTTTCTGTGACTATAATGTGCCTGAGCTCCTTCCAAATAGGTGAAAACAACAGACGGAGTGTTTTTTAGATGGAGAAGGATTGAATGATGCAAAAACAAATATATGGGAGGTGCGCCTCAAGCTAAAATGCCTCTGTGTTGTCCCTTTGTTTATAGCAACAGAAGAGTCGGTGCGTAGATAATGACCCGGCCTGTCGATAAGGGTTTAGTGTCTGCCACATTCTTTTAATATCTGCGTCTGTTTGGGTGTCAACATGTTATTACGTAAAAACACACGGCTGCTTTTTGAAGACTATTTTTAAACATATACAATACAACATATTCTGATGAGCAATATGCACTGCAGCATTTCTTAAAGGTAGTTATAGACTTTCAAAGTGTATATTCTCTGTGCGACCACAGCAAAAAGACAGTGTACTCTGAGGGCTGCAGGTGCATTTATATGCAGGTGGGGCTACGACTGCAGGCTTGACTGAGCTTATCAGACAAAGTCCAACATTTGCCGGTGTTTCTATTAAGGCTCTACTCCTCGTCTGTGTCCCTGTTTTTCCTCCCTCACTAGAGGACACACTCTTGTCACAGTTTCATTGATTTGTGTCACTCTGCCTTATTTATCTAGAATGTACGGGAGTGAAACAGGAGTGAAAAGCACACTAGAAAAGAGTTAGGAGGGCAGAATAGAAAGGGTACATTAAAATCATTCACATATGAGGATATGAGACAGCCTGTAGATTGTTGGGGCTCAGTTAGGTTTTGATTCTGCTGTAAAGTGCCCCGGGCTACAGCTCATTCATACACACTTCTTTATGAGGTGTTATTTATCACACACACACACACACACACACACACCCACACCCACACACACTGTATAAACCAGTGACTGTCAAACGCAGAGATATCTTGCTGGAGGTCAGTTCAACAGTGAGAGTTTAGATCTGCTAAACTGCCTCTCCAATCAGGCAGAGATTAACAGGAGTGGTGGCATGAAAGTGGTCTCAAACGCATTGCTGTTAATCAAGGACTCTTTGCTGATTGACATCCCGCCCTCGGTCACATTTTTTTTTAACCTTATACTTTGTGTGTCTGTTATCTTGCAGAGGGTCCTCTCACGGATCCAGACATCCTGATGTTCGCTGACAATCAGGAGATGTCGCCCTGATTGCTGTTTGTCGGTAACAGCTTCTCATTAGGCAAGGTATGTCGACTTTTTTCAGTCACCACATTCATCATGGAACAATTTTAAGTTGTAAAAGTAGTCCAAGTCATTTCCTTAACACTGTTTTATGTCTCTTTCAGATGTCAACTACAACAGAGAATGGGATGGGAGGTCCTTGGAAAACAAGCAGAGAGAAAACCTACAAAAAGGTAAAAACTATTCACACAAAGCTCGACTGTGTTTGGTTTTATTTGCCTCTTAAAACTAATGTCATCCTGCTTCCACAACGTTTATTTTGAGATGCCACTGTATAGAGCCAACAAGTCCACAAGGTCTGAGTCACATGAGTCCTTATAAATGTCCTTCTACAGCACATTGCGTCCTGACCCCTGCCAAGGCCAGCTGCCAGAGATCAGTCAAGTGCCGGTCACACTTGTTTTCTTTCCTCTTTTTTTTTTTACTCCAGACGTCAGTGTTTCTTAAGATGTCACCATTACAAGGCTCTCCACAGTGGCCACCACTGTTCAGGTTGGGACTAAAAAGGTCTTTCTGTGGTGGCCACGCAACCAAAGAACTAGGGTGTTTATGTCCCAGTCTTTTTGGGTTTTAATGTTAGTGCAATTTATACTACAACATTGTACTTAACAAAATACGAGTTGACTTTATTGTCTTGATGTATGGTCTACTTTCTTGATTTTGATTGACTTTAATACCAGGTTCCTTATTAAATGTTTGCCAATGTATTGGAATTGTAACCATGCACTGCTTTCACCATCACAGTTTTCCATTACACCTACAGATCATTTGTTAGCATCGCATTGAACATTTCAGGAGTTTTAATACATTTATTTATTGTAAACATCTTTCTCTAACTTGTTCACTTAAACCCTGAGTTTGCACACAGCCAGCATTATTGACCGACAGATTTTTAAGTACCTCCCACATGCTAGCTATCTAATTCAACGCATGGCACGTTACACTGTATGTATGAAACCAATTAATGGATTTATTTAGTACATTCATTTTGTATCTGCTTATCATAGGGTAAAAGGTTTGTTTCTATCTGCATATGACATGGTAAACAGCCTAAGCACATGACTCATATATTCAATTCACATATATTCTCCATAAATTCCTTTGAAATACCCTGTAAAGTTTTCACCTTGATACTTTCTAGCTTTTTCTAGATCTCTTTTTTTATCACTTTTGGGCTTTTTTTCCTAGTTTCCCTTGTTTACATTAACAACATATTTAGTATGTGATTGGTTTAGCAGTGACAGGGTGATGTAACAGCCTGACTAATAGGATGTTTTCTCTTCTATGTTCCCGTCTAGACCACGTCATCGGCCTTGAAGGGGGCCATTCAGCTCGGAATCGGCTATACAGTGGGCAACCTCACCTCCAAGCCTGACAGAGACGTGCTTATGCAAGACTTCTATGTGGTGGAGAGTGTGTTTCTGCCCAGGTCAGTGTTAAGTAGCGTCATCCCACACATGCATACGTCCATAGCTGCGCACACAGCCTCCGTACACAGGAAGACAGCTTTTATACATTTTCTGAAGAAATCGTTCGATGTGTGAGTTCATTGTGTAGCAATAGTTTGCTCAATGTCATGAAAAAAACAGTCAAACTTTTGCATAAGCTCAAGGTTATAAGTCTACAGGAGGCAATTATTTAGAGAAGTGTTTCATAAAAACAGATTGTGTGTGGGTAGAAACAGGCGTTTTTTTGGCTGCGACTGTTTCCTGACTGCAAGGTGAATGAATGGACTAAAGAGTGAGCTTTGCCAGTCTGCCTGCTCAAATATTATATGTCTGGGTCTTGTAATAAAGACAGTCAAAATTATAACAAATCATGCTCAGTGGAAACTGCAGGCGCTGGACCTCTTGTCCGAGGAAATTGTGCTGCTACCACAATCTCCCACAATCGCTGCTTATTTCATTTTGCTAGTCTAAATCATGATGCAGGGATAAAACTATTTTGGTGCATTATCCTGCCAAGAACTGTGAAATCGGCTTATAATGAGTCTCTTGCTGACACGGTGTAAAACATATGTCAGAGTGTGGCTGGTCATGTCCGGCTGTCCTCACAGTCACATCATCAGATTAAAGAGACATTTGATATAATCCACAACAGACCCCGGAATAATTTTAAAGTGACATATAAACATACAATTCTGGTAATCAGTTTATGACAATGTCATTTACTAGAATTCACAATGGACAATACTGTTTTATAGGATTTTTTTTTTTCTTTTTCATTTACAAATTGGCCTTGTAAATCCTATCCTAAAAAACAAGAACATTCAAGCTAAAATAATAAAATAGATGAAAAAAAGCATCTATCTGTGGCCAAATGCATGAATCATCCAAGATCTTTAACTCTGAAGCTTCAGGAAGAGAACTGGATTCCTGATAGGAAATACTTTGTTGCGTGCACTACGCTCTGCATCAGCCAAACGACTCGTTGCGCCCTCGCTGCGAGGGGGACCCAAGTTCCCATCGGCGAAAACACGTGGGTTTGCTGTCCTGGCTCCAAGATGGTGGAATGAGCTCCCCATTGACATCAGGACGGCAGATAGCTTGCACATCTTCCGGCGCAAACTGAAAACTCATCTCTTTCAACTCCACTTCGAGCGTTAGAACTATTAACGAAGCACTTTTATACTAATAAAGGACTGGCTTATCTAAAGCCAGTGGAGTAGCACGTGAAATGTTTGGCTCTATGAAACCTGATGTACTTATATGATTCTGTTTTCTTCAAGGTTGTGTCTTCCTGGTCGAATGTACTTATTGTAAGTCGCTTTGGATAAAAGCGTCAGCTAAATGTAATGTAATGTAATGTTTATCTTTGAGATGCTGCACCTGATGCAAATCCATTCTGGTTCATGCAAACCTGGTTTTGGCACGCTGTCTGCCCTACAGTGATGAGTGTTTAAAAACCTGCTGTTGCTTTGCTCAAATAATGAATTGCATTATATCAATAGTTTAAAGCAGGATTGTTATTTCATCCTCAGCCAATGTCAAGCCTTTTCACATAATCGGTCAAATAAATAGAAGCTAAGTTATCTTCAAGGCCAGTTTTTCAATGAGCATGCAAACTGAAGTAAAACATCAACGTTACAGAGTTAAGGAAAAAGAAAATTACCCAAAACACAATTAGGAGGAGAGAAAACTGATGCCCTACATCTGGCATCTTACGTCATCGTGTCCCTCTTTATTACTAACAGCAAGGCTGGTCACTGCTTTCACTCTCTCTGTGTGTGTGTGTGTGTGTGTGTGTGTGTGTGTGTACAGAAGAGGTTTTGAGGAATTAACCATATGTTTCTATATCTGATTGGCTGTGAGCAGTCACTGTTATAACGCCCCAACTGTGAAAGATGCAGTCATAAAACCTTATGTTTAAAGGTGGGGTAGGTAAGTTTGAGAAACCGGCTCGAGATACACTTTTTGTTATATTCCATGGAATGCTCTTAACATCCCGATAGCAATGAAAAGTGCTTTGACAAAAAATCCATAAAATGTCTTCTGTGGAAGCCGTAGTACTGTAAAAAGCACGACCAATCATTTTAGCCGACCCGGCTAAAATAACTGGATGGCCTACCTGCCTGTCAGCCTTCCATCTGTGCACAAACTTATCTCGTGCCCTCATTGGTCATGTGCACGTTCGTGTGTGTTGGAGGAGGGGCTCTGTGAGGAAGTGGCAGATTTTTTCCGGCTGTATATTTTCTAATTCTAGCGCATTCTAGCTGGTTTCTCCAAAATTACATACCCCACCTTTAAATAGTGTCAAAATGAAAGACTTTAAAGAGGTTGCATGATCAAAGTAAAGGCAGAGTTCGAAGATGGGTGTGGTGTGAGCAAAGGTGCCAGAAGTAGTGTGGGTGGTGTGATCTAATATCAAGATTGCCTCTATTTTTCTTTACCTTATCAAAATGCTTGTTGTTTTCTGTGAAAGCAAACAAACACAAACGCCTCCTGAGAGAGCGGCTAAGTATGTAGACGGCTCTACGATGCTGCTCCTTCTCACTCTCTTCTTCCTCTTGTCAGTGTTTTTCTCTGGGGGGTTTCCCACTGCAGTTTGTCCTGTCAGTCTAGTTTTGGATGGCTGGAGGGGTCAGCGATCACTTTGACACATAAACACACACTCTGCTCTCTGATTAGGTTGAGTGAAAAACGTTCAGGTGTGTTGTTGAATGGTTTCCATGCAGGCGCATGTTACGGACGTGGACTGTCAGTCATTGATGATAGATAATTGTTGTTGCCCTCACGACAGAGCAGTCAGATTTCACTGCAGAGTAATCACAGGTATTGTTTTACACGACTGTGCTTGCCTGTTGCCTGTATCCCATTACTGGATATAGCCAGTGCTGGAATTGGGCCGGTACTCACCGGTACGCAGTACCGGCACTTCTGGTTCTGACCCATGGAGTACCGGCACTTCTTGCTCAGTACCGGCATGCTGGCGGTACTCCGGTACTCATGCACCGTGCCAGTACTCAACACTCTCCCGCCGTTCTTATTATACATCCATATATATATATATACAGCCGCCCGGTACTCAGTAGATGCGTCATGAGGTGCCGAACGGACATTCTCATCGCTCTAACCGCTGGAGTTTCACAGCGGCTGTCAGCTGTTTACTCCTGTCATTCAAACAGAACGTGCTGGAGAGGGGGCGGGGCTTATCTTCTCCATGTAAATACTGTGGTGGAAACGACTATGTCAAAATTAACCTATTTGACCGTGATTTAATAGTAATACACGTTTCAAAATAATAATAATAATAATGCCGAAGTAACAACATATTGAAAACTGTTAGTAAAACCATGTTTTAATGCTTTACAATTTACATACCTAGATGCACGTGTGTTGTGTTTATGCAGTGCAACTCCCACCCAGTGGGTGGCTATGTAGAGTGATAGAACAGAGCAGGCACGCCCCCGAGAGAAGGAAAGCAAGTCACGTCACAAATTAGCATTTCTAAAATGTTAGCGTGGATTAATAAAAGTGCAAAAAGACAGCGGTTGTCGTCGGAAGAAACTTCAAATACAGAGAATGCTGTGCCTGTGTTGGAAATTGTGTCTGATGGGGAGCTTTCTTTGGTTGATCCTCCTGCTCCAAGTTCTAGTGCATTAGCATTAGCACTAGCTCCGCCGCCTCCTCCAGAGCCTCTAACGTTAGCTGCTGCTGGCGCAACTGCCACCACCAACACCGGGCAAAGCGATGCACCTGACTGCTGGACAACGGACCAGGTGCAATATTTTTGCAAGACCAATGCATGGCTCCTTCTTAAAGATAAGAAGCTAGGATGTCGGATATGCAGAGATGTCAAATCTTTGGGAATACACACTGGACAAGGACTGAAACTGTCAACTGAATGGGGTGAGTGTGCAGTGTCTCATTTCGGTGTTGACAAGGGCAAACAACAAGCTAGCCTGAGAAAAAAAATCAAAGAACATAAAGAATCACAAGCCCATGTAAAAGCTGCTGACATCCTTACATCTGCTTCACGTGAAACTATTCAACATCAAGTGCAGTCTATGCATACATCTGAATTAGACACCACTATCAGAGTTTTTCGAACGGCATATAAAATTGGCAAACATAGCCGGCCATTCACAGACATGCCAATTGATTTGAATGTACAGAAACTGAATGGGCTGAACGTGGGCAGGGTTTTGCACTCCAATAAAACCTGTGGCGAAATCATCGACCACATAGCTCATGAGCTGAAGAAAAAAATGGCAAAAGACATTACAGAAAACCAAAGAAAACTCTGTGTTTTGGTCGATGAATCTACCACTAATAGTGGTAGAACGGTGCTTGTTGTGTGTCTACGCTCAGCATTAGCTGATGCTGAGCCCGAAACGTTTTTTTGGGAGCTGATCGAGTTGGATGGAACAACGGCTGATGACATCACAAAGGCGTTAATGGAGTGTCTTGGAAGAGATTTTAACGAGGACTTTTTAGGTCAGTGTTTCGTTTCTTTTGCATGTGATGGGGCTTCAGTCATGCTAGGGAAGAGAACAGGCGTTGCTACCCAGTTGTGTAGTAAATTCCCAAGCCTGTTTGTGTGGCACTGCTCCAATCATCGTCTAGAGCTGGCAGTTGGGGATGTGGTCAAGGAGGTCTCAGGGCTCAATCATTTCCAGATCTTTTTTGACAAACTCTATTCCTTGTTCCATGCCTCCCCCAAAAATCAGAGGCAGTTAGCGCAGTGTGCGCAAGCAGTCGGACAGCATCTCCTGGTGATAGGGCGTATTTTGTCCATCCGCTGGGTGGCTTCAAGTGAAAGGAGCGTCAGAGCAGTCTGGGAAAACTACCGAGTGCTTCATGATCACTTCACAAATGCTGCAAACGACACGAGCAGGGATTCCAGAGACAGAGCAAAGTACAAGGGCCTGGATGATGTGCTCACATCTGCAACGTTTGTCAGCAATCTGGGACTGATGTACGATGCGCTCACAGAGCTCAGCGACCTCTCTCGGCAACTCCAAAAAAGAGAGATGACACTGCCTACAGCAGATAGGCTCTTAACTCGAGAAATACGAGTTTTTGAATCCATGGTCACCATGCCTGGCCCACACATGACTACAGTTCATACAGCTCTAGCTGAGAAGTCCTTCAAGGGTGTTGCCCTGCGTGAGAATGGCAGGCTTGTACAGATTCATGCAGGTCAGTTTTTCCGCAGTATGGTAGAGAATCTGAGACACAGAATGACTTCCACAACCTCCTCTCATGTCAGCACAAGAGAAATCCCATTACATGGCCGGGAGGCCCGGGACAATCAGCTAATCCAGGACATGAAAGTTATCCATCCTGGAAGTTGGCCTGAAGAGGAGTTAGACGTACAGTATGGGGACGTAGAGGTGCTACGTTTGTGCGAAGTGCTGAAAGTGGACAGAAGAGAGACTGTTCAGGGCTTTCGCGAATACAAGGAAACCAGGGCATCCCGTACACCTGCTGCCATGGAGCCTCTACTGAAAGCAGTCTGAACCATCGCTGTCTCCACTAGTGAGTGTGAGTGGGCATTCAGCGGCATGAACGATATCCTTACTGCAAAAAGGAATGCTCTCTCTGTCAGCCGACTGTCCAGCCTGGTTTTCATTAAATGTAATGGACCATCACTAGGACAGTTCAATCCGGAACAGTATGTGAGGTCCTGGCTGGCAAAGGGAAGGAGAAGTGCTGATGAAAGAGCCTGTCCAGCTCCAGCCCCTGATACTGATGTCCCCAAGGCCTTCTGGAGCCTTTTCTAACAATGTGAAGTATATTGCAAAGCAGCTCACCCAGTGAGAAGACTTTTGGCATAATGTGCCGATTTGTACAGATCCTGGAGATAGAAGGACTTGAGACCAACCAGGGAGTTATCTGATCAGCTTGGTGTTCAATGTAACTCTTTACCATGGCTCAGACTTTGTTACTTGCAGTTACAGTTTCTCATTTTAGATTGTGCACATTTTGCATTTGTTTTTACATGTTCTTTGTTCATGCTCTTTATCATTTTTCTGAGTTGGAAAGTTAGATTGCATCATAGTTTACTTTATACATATTTGTATTCTTCAGTGGTGAAGTATATTGCAAAGCAGCTCAGCCATGTGAGAAGACTTTTGGCACTTTTTCGTTTTCTGAGTTGGAAAGTTAGATTGCATTCAAAATGTACAGAAATACTTAATTTTGTTAAAGCTTTTTATAAAAAATGCTTCTGACCAGAGCTTTGTTTCCTTGTCATTAATGTTGAACACCACCAGAGGGGCTCTCACCTGAAAGGTCTCTGCTTCATGTGTCTTCAGCAGAAGATCTAGACTTTGATTGCTATATATTCAGTTAATATTGACCTTACTGAGCTTTAGCCATATCCGCTGCCTATCATAAAAAATGTTAAGTACAGTGAACCTTTCTAAAATATACAGTAGTAAAGAGACAAACCCACCAGCATTATAGTAGCCAAATTCTTGTTTGTGGGCTGTATATATAAAATTGACTTGAAAAAGTTGCTGATTTTAGAGTACTGGCACCTTTTTCATTCCAATTCAAGCACTGGATATAGCACTACCAAATAACAACACAGTAGCCTTTTTACCCAGAAAACCATCTAAGTCCTCAGAATAGTAAACGGATTTAGAGGTGCTCTGGAAAGCAAAACCCTTTAGTAAACCGAATCCTTGTAGATTTCGGGTCAGTGTAATTTATTTTATGATGAAAGACTCAATGTCTGACTCATGCTAACCTTATTAGACGTGCCTGTGTTGTGGTCTTCCCCTTGGACACAGGTTATAAAACAGGGTCATTGTCAAAGGTTCCACAGTTTAATCAGATCAACAACATGTCGTTTATTTTGTCCCTTTTTGTTTTTCATTTTCACCTTTCTCCCGCTCAGAGTCAAGGCTCATCTGTTGTGTGGTGTTGTTTAGATCCAGTAATCAGAGCCATCCTTAGTCTCCAGGTGAGGAACTCTATACTGGCCCGTTTGTTAGCACAATACTGGAGAATCTGGGTTCCCAGAGATGACTTACTAAAGCCTGTTCATGCATGGGTGGAGCACATTACAAGGGCCCACCGGTACACTTGCTGGGAGTCAATAGCCACACAGATTACGTATTAGGGTTCAAATTCCCCCTTGGTGCTTCCTGCAGGTGATCCTTGGTGGGATGACTGTGTTAACAACATTTATATAACATTAAAGGTTTTCTTTATCGCCCCCTTATTTGAGTTGAGTGTTGGATTAATGTATCTCATGTACCATTATTTGTTTTTGTTTCCTGCTGTTCTTTGTTATTCATCACACATCGCAGTGAGGGAAGCAACTTGACCCCCGCACATCACTATCCTGACTTTCGCTTCAAGACCTACGCCCCGCTAGCTTTCCGCTACTTCAGGGATCTGTTCGGCATCAAACCAGACGACTACCTGGTAAGACTTAAAACTGTCTGAGACATAACTGTTTATTATTTGTTCCACCTTTCCATGATAATCCATTACATGTAAAAGTTCATAATCTACTCTTCAGTTTCAGTCTTTTCTGCTTTGTTTACAATTATGCAGGTGTAGGGGGGAAGTCATACAGGTCAAATCAAATTAAGGATATACATTATAAAAAGCCTTATTTATCTAATATATGTTAGTTTCCCAAAGAAAAAGGCAGAAATAAATAAAAATAAATGTTTGCCATTATTTGAAATATGTATATTCACAGTGACATCTCACTTGATGCCATGACAGTCATTGTCAAGATGAAGTCCTGCACACAAACCCACCAAAACCACATTTCTTTTTATATCGTTTTTGCATGGGTTTCCCAAACAAAAATGTAAAAGTAGGTGAACTTTAGAGGAGCTAGTAACTGCCAGCTGACTGGAGCTTTATATTTAGTCGACAGGCATGGGAGTGATATCTTATCTTTTAACATGAAAGTGAGGAAGCGAAAATGCTTTGTGGAGTTCTGTCTAACAGTATGTGTTAATAAACATATTTCCCATTGTGGAACACCTCTCTGATACAAGTATACTCTATGTTAAACAACACTCTGTTTCTGATCAGTAGTTATTTGTCCTCATTTAAAGTTCCATGTTTTCTGTCTGCGCCATGTCAAAAGTACAATTAGGAAACCAACCATGAGACCTGCTAGTTATCTTTCTCATGAATTACTTAGCATTGATTGAACTCTAATCTTCTACGTCAGTGCGTACTTAAGTGTGACGAAATTCAACACGTATTTGATTGATAAGTGGACTTGTATGCCACACACCACTGGCCAAGGGGAAAGCTAGGAGTGGGAGGCAAAACACTGGGGCGGTGGAGATATTAGGGGTAATGATTGAGCTAACACAGTGCGCCCTCATTACGACAGCTTTAGCTCCCAGTGCTGAATTCAATCAGCAGATGATTCTGTGATTTCCCAGAAGACACAAACAGACTGAGAAATAGATGGAGAGAAAAAGAGAGTAATTTTGTAGGACTTTGGTGATTCATGTTTTTTTTGTGCTTGTTTTTGTGCTTGTGTGTTTCCTGGGAAAAAAGCCTCAGCCTGAAGCCTTGGATGTCTGATTACACTCACTCACCTGTGACAAAGCCTTTATTAATGTGCAGTACATGCCATCCTGTATGTTATTTGATGTGCTGCTCGTCTTGATGCCAAATTCGTGACTGCTTGTTGCTCGGAACAACATTTGATTTAATCTAATGTTGTTGGGATTTGGCATGTTATGATGAAAATACCCCACCAGCTACATTCTTGTTTTTATATGGTAAGTTTGTCTCTGCATAAGTGAAAGACAAAAGAGAGATGGAGAGGATATGTAACATCAAGGCAGTAGAGGGAGGATGGCATAAGGCGCACCCGCTTAAAGGATGTGTTCATGATTGATGTCTTTGAGGTAAAGATGAATTCATTCAGACAGAGACCACACAGCAGAGTCTAATTCAAAGAGAAACCACACACACACACACACACACACACACACACACACACACACACACACACACACACACACACACACACACACACACACACACTGCATCCTGAATGAAAATGCACTACACCGCAGATGCGTGACTGCAGACGGCCACCGGTGAAGAGTCTCCAGTGTTGCTCTTCTACTCTGAACATGTCACTCTCATCATGCACGGATAACATCCAACATTGCTCTTCAGCTGGATGTTCTCACCGTGTCTCTGATGATTGCCACGTTAGGATGAATGCTCTCGATTTGGTCCTGCACAAGCAGTTTAGTGCGCAGTTTAACTGTTTGTCAACAGAGAAGTTTGGCATATAGATTTGGGCTTATGTTATCAAGATGGGTTTTTTCTTCCGTCAACTTATTAGTTCATTTAAACAATGAAAATAATGTAGACGGAGACCCCTGTCATTGTCATTCTTGAAATATCCATTATATGGCGAACAGTATGTTGACTATCAAGTACGTTTGTGTACTTGTGGAGTTATTTCAATTTAAGGAAATCTCAATTCTACATCACATAAGGATAGTTTGGAGAATAGCATACTTCCAACTTTGTGGAAACAGCTTGGTATAGCTTGCACTGCATCAAATGTGCAATAACTTGACCGGCCTGCACAGATCCATCCTAAATCTCACACGGCTAGGACTTATGTCTCTTATGCCATTGATCTAAATTGTGTGGGAAGCCTTCCCTGATGTTAAGCTATCACATTTCAATGTGATGTCCGAGTATACTCTTACTTTTTTTTGGTTGGCTACATAATTTTTGTCCACATGAATAAAGCCACTAAAACAAAAACATGTATTTAATAGTATCACAAGAGTTACTGTAAATACCTGAAGGCCAGTGATGATGTGCAAGGCTTTTCTCTGCACTTAATAAAAAACTGCCTGGGGTGTAGCAAGGGGGTTATGTTTTTGGATGGTTTGTTTGTTTCTCACCAGGAAAACTGAAAATAACTAGTGACTCAGGGTGAAGCAATAATCCAGGAAGAACTCATAAAGTTCTGGAGCGGATCTGTATCACGGGATGGTTACACAAATTATATTTCGCTTTTATAAACATTGCAAATAGCGCACAGCTTGGCGGAGGTCTGAACTCTCCCAGTGCCCTTCGAGTTTAATACTTTTTCCATATAAACTTCAGTCCGTTCTGTAGAAGAGCTGTTTCGTGTCTGGATATGTTCCAAGTGTGACCTCTGTTTCACTTGAAATGTTAAACTGGTTTGTTTATGTTTCCTTCCTCAGTACTCCCTCGTAAATGAGCCTCTGATCGAGCTGACCAACCCGGGAGCTAGCGGCTCTCTCTTCTACCTGACCAGCGATGACGAGTTCATCATTAAAACCGTCCAGCACAAAGAGGCCAAATTTCTCCAGAGATTACTACCTGGATACTACATGGTGAGACACTATAAGTTGCTCTATGGGTTCTCAAGTACCTGGTTACAGTAGGTGGCAAAACTCCACTCTGAGTTTTAAATGGGTGTCAGAAACCCTCCTAGTGTTGAGTATTAACAGATCACTCATCAGATGCTTAAGTGGCACAAATGAGATGCAGCGAGCGTCCTCATTAGCTCCAGCTGTAGGGCACCATCACACACCATTACATCTCTGTCAGGGGGAGGAGACACACTGGATGTATGCACAGGATTAAAAAAACGTGATCACTAAAAAAAAACGTAATCACTAAAAATATTTTTGAAAAGTGAGTAAAGGAAAATAACAAACAGCTACAATAGGCATGTAAGTTCAGAAAATGACATCCATGTACTGTGATGCAGCATTAAAGGTCCCATGACATGGCCATCTCTACTGATCATAATTCCATTGTTGAGGTCTACTAGAATAGATTTACATTGTTCAATGTTCCAAAATCACATTGGTTTCTCATACAGCATCTCTGTATAGTATGTGTATTCACTCTCTGTCCTACACGGCTTGTTGGAGCTCCTGCCCCCCCCCCTCCCTATGAGCCCACTGTGCTCTGATTGGTCAGCTCGCCCACTCTGTTCTGATGAGTCCACCACCGTTACAGCTGGACATCAGTGATTATGTGTTACAATGGCGTTTGTTGGCAACCAGGAAATGACACCAGCAATGACAAACAGATGAGAATGCTGCGTGGGGTCTGGGTGCCGTGTTGGCGGGACGTTGCGGGGCTCGCTGCTCCGCCCTTTGAAGCTTGAGGAGCGGACAGTGTGAGCTGGATTACTGGTGTCGTTTCCTGGTTGCTGCGTGAGGTCTGCGAGACAGCGAGACACCGGGGAGCTCAGCCTGAGGGCTGAGTGTGTGTGTGTGTGTGCGGAGATCCGCGGCTAAGAAAAGATAAGGCTGAGTGAGTGTGTGTGCGGAGCTCCGCGGAATAGTCCATTTGGTCGGCGTTACGTCACTATGACCCGGAAGAAGAAAAAGAAAAACTCCAACGAGGCGTTCTGGGGCAGCATAGACAGCTCTTTTCTGTGTTAGAGTTTTACTCGCTACAGGGTGTACTTTGAGGGTTTGTGACTTTGCAGACCGTTTACATGCAGAAAAAACGACATGACACACAAGGGGACGGGTAACCATGGGACCTTTAAAAAAAGACACTGAGACATATTGTGATCCAAAATGTAAGATATTACTTGTCTCATATCCCGATATCTAAACAATAATGATGCATCTAATATTGGCTTTACCTTCACAGTTATGTAATGAGTAAAACAAATGCAGTTAAACATGATTGTAATACAAACTCTGTCTTTATTTCCTTCGCAGAACTTGAACCAGAATCCGCGCACGCTGCTGCCCAAGTTCTACGGACTGTACTGCATCCAGTCTGGAGGCATAAACATCCGGCTGGTGGTGATGAACAACATGCTGCCGCGCTCCGTCAAAATGCACTATAAATACGACCTGAAGGGCTCCACCTACAAGAGGCGAGCGTCCAGGAAAGAGAGAGAGAAGTCCTGTCCGACCTACAAAGACCTGGACTTCCAGGACATGCACGAAGAAGGGCTTTACTTTGACCCAGAGACCTACACCAACCTGATGAAGACCCTGCAGAGAGACTGTCGGGTAGGAGAGTTTCTGCTCATGACTGTCTCTCTGTGTTTATTAGACCTGCTTTAAAATAGCAAAGTCATACCAAAACAGGAAGGTCCCTATTTTTCCATAAAAGACTAAACAAGAAAGTCTAAGATCAGATAATTTAATTATCTGAATACTTTCATTCAAAAGGTCTTTCCTGTTAGGCAAGGCAAGTTTATTTATACAGCACCTTTCAGCACGCGACAATTCAAAGTGCTTTACAAAATAAATTAAAAGACATTTTAAGAATAAATACAGTAAAAACACATTATATAATGGCATAACACATTATATAATGGCATGTTAGGTTTTTATGTTTTCATTACTCTGCTGAAACACTTTGAGCTGTGTGGACATTAAGTCTGATATGAGTCATATCTGATGTAGTTTAGAGAGGCTAAGTTGTAACTTGGGTATTTAATTGACTGTAGTGGAGCCACATAGCTGTTAAAGGGATGTTATTGACCTCTCATTCTTGGGACAGATTATGGAAGCTGAAACACGAGCAGCTCTTTAAATGTTTTACATTGTATACTAGTTGAGGACAGTGTGCATGTGGCTTGGATGGGACAAAATGTTTTGAAAATAAGAATTTTCCATGTGTTTTTCAGAGGGACTGCAGTGTGTTTCCACCACTGTGTGTTCAGTCTAAGCTCTCTTTGCCCTGGGCTCTGTTCTCCTGTATCTGCGCTGCGATGTTTCATTACATGACAGCTCTCCAAACACTGAATGTGTTTAAGACATGATCCTGGTAGCTCGGAGCTCTATCCAAAGATAGTCCTCCAATCTAAAGGCTTGCATTTTCCCCTGATTTTAACGCAGAGGCCAGGAACATGCCTGCTGGTGAAGAATAGCTGGAGTTTAACAGGAGATGTGGTGTGTGTGATTTGCATTCAGAAGCCTGAAAATAGAGAGCATACAAAATGTGTTGCCAAGACTTCATTTTTTGTCCATTGCATCAGTGTAAGATGAATTGCATGTGAAAACAGCCTAGTAGTGAAGACTATAGGACCATGTTTTTTTGTTTGCAACCACAATTGTAGGCAAAAGAAAAAAGAACCACAACAGAAGAGCTGAATTGCTGATTTGATTGTCCTCTGCCTCTTGAATAACAACAATGATACGCGTTTGCTCCTAAACCAATGTTGTGTTATCATTTAAAATAAATCCACATATGGATTGATTAACATACGGCCTTGGCTTGTCAAACTGTCCTTTTTTAGGATGGCTTCCTCAGAGTCTCTTGGGATAGCTTTATTGGTGATGACAGTGTGACTTCCAGACACTGATTTAATGTTTTTTACCATCATAGTGATGGGTTAATGATGGGGTTTAAGACCCCCCTTGTTGTAATCCCATTTGTTCTGCTTGACATACAGTAACTGCAATTACTTCCATTATAACAGCAGTTATAAAGCTCTCTGTCTACCGGGCCATTTTCGTTCCTACCCTCACCTATGGTCATGAAGGGTCATGACCGAAAGAACGAGATCGCGGATACAAGCGGCCGAGATGGGTTTTCTCCGCAGGGTGGCTGGTGTCTCCCTTAGGGATAAGGTGAGAAGTTCGGTCATCAGGGAGGGACTCGGAGTTGAGCCGCTCCTCCTTCGCGTCGAAAGGAGCCAGTTGAGGTGGTTCGGGCACCTAGTTAGGATGCCACCTGGGCGCCTCCCTAGGGAGGTGTTCCAGGCACGTCCAGCTGGGAAGAGACCGAGGGGTAGACCTAGGACCAGGTGGAGGGATTATATCTCTTCGCTGGCCTGGGAGCGCCTTGGGATCCCCCCAGTCAGAGCTGGTTGATGTGGCCAGGGAAAAGAAAGTTTGGGGCTCTCTGCTGGAACTGCTACCCGACCACGGATAAGCGGGAGAAGATGGATGGATAACAGCCTCATCTCAAAAGTTAAAATGTTAAGTGTATAGGACAGGCATATGGTTTTATCGCTGAACAGGGATTGATGTCACATGGAACAAAGTTAGCGGTAATGAACAGTGAGATGCAGCGGGTATATTTAGTTTAGCTTGTTAGTCAACAGAGCACTCTTCTCTTTCCTCTTCTGTGTGTAACCGAGAAGAGAATTTATCACTGCTCATGTAAAGACATGACTTTCATTAGAAGGACATTTTCTGGTTCTGCGTGTGGTTTGTGGTTTAGAGTTTCTCTTTCGGGAAAAGAAAGTATCCTTCCAGGAAAGGTGTGTGAACAGGTGCATACAACTGTTGCTTTCCCACCCTTTAAGTCAAACAGTATCTCGGTCACAGGCAGGTCTTGTGATTTCGGGTTGGAGAGAGATTAGCAGTAATGCAGAGGAATCTTAAAGTGCCCTCCTCAGGTTATGGTCCTTCCCATCATCATTAACCAACATGCTGACTTTGTGGATGTCCTCTATTTTCTTTTAAATGTTTTCTTTAGCACATTGCAGCCAGAATGACATCCTCCCTTCTTGCTAAGTCAGTGCTTCCTTAACCTTACAGCACACTCACATTCAAGCTTAGCCCAATCCTACCCCAGGGGTGCACTGTTTACCACTATGTTTGCATGTACAGGCCATATTGCTTGTGTATTTGTAAGTATATGTTGAGCTGTGCCTGTGTATGTCTGTATGTATGTCTGTATGTATGTATGTAAGCGAGACTGTGAAGCAGCAGCTGTACAGTTTATTATTGTCATGGCTTCCTGCGCTCGCCTCCGAAGCGGGAAGCAAAGTGCCCTCTAAGCAGAATCGCTTTTTCCATTTCCATGAGTAAGCAGCTGACCCCGTCACCCCAGGAGAGGCTGCGGACCTCAACGCAGGAGGGGGGGGGGGGCGCAGAGGCTGAGCAACAGGGGCGTGGGGGGGGGGGGGGAAATGAGGAAGTGATAGGGGATTGTTGTCCGATAAAAGTTCATGTGGTGAAGCCTCCGAAAAACACATTTTAGCTATTTTTCCAGCGATCAGGGTTGGGATTTTTCTTCCATAGGAACGTGGGAGGTCAGAGTTGAGTTGAAGCAGAAAGCGATGCGACGAAGAGGAGGATGAGCATGTTGTGTTTGAAGGAATATGATATTTCTGCAATGTGGTACACTGTTACGGAAACACAGGGTACATTTTCTTTGAAATCTACCCTCTCCATTGCCCTGCAGCTCCCCTGATACTCTCCAAATGCCAAAACAACAAGAGGCATTAATAATTCATGTTGGACTTTTCTGCTGCACAGAGAGAGAGAGAGGGAGATGGTGTGTGTGTGTGTGTCTCAGACGGTATGTGTGTGTGTGTGTGTGGTGTGTGTGTGTGTGTGTGTGTGTGTGTGTGTGTGTGTGTGTGTGTGTGTGTGTGTGTGTGTGTGTGTGTGTGTGTGTGTGTGTGTGTGTGTGTGTGTGTGTGTGTGTGTGTGTGTGTGTGTGTGTGTGTGTGTGTGTGTGTGTGTGTGTGTGTGTACACTGTTGTCATGCAGGCTGTGCGTGTGTGATTTGCCGAGACAGACATAAGGATGAAAGTGATGCTATGAAAATGTCAAGCTGTTGAGATCTCATCATGTTGGGGACAACGCAAAAAAGAAATCCGTGTACCTTTTAAATTCTGTTTGATCATTTGTGAAATAAGAGCTTACATGCATGAACAAGTGCAGAACTAATGATCGGACAATGAAAGCATGCATTCTTGGACAATAATGAGTTGCATAGCAGCAAGTGTAGACAATCATAAACAACCGTTTACTGTATGGCTCGCCCTCTGCTCCTCCATGGGATCCTGTGACAACAATAGCTTCTCTCACTCTCAGCTGCGGAGAAACCAAGGCCATGACCTTGCACTCAGAAGTCAGGGAGGTGTCAACAGGATCCTTAACCACATTTATACACATGGAAAACTCCTGGTAAATACACAGGTCTTCAACTAGTAGTTATTGTCATTATGGATGAATGTTACTGATTGTTTTGCCTATTGGTGAAACTATTTATTGGGCTATAAAATCTGCCAATAGTGAACAACTGCATAGATGAATTCCCAGTGACCATGGTTATGTGTTCACATTTCTTGTTTTTTTTCACTGATAGTTAAAAGTTGATTATTTTCATTTTGCTGTCAGAGAAGAGTAAGAAAAACCTAAAGATATTTACAAGTCAAAACCAGGGGAACATCATGTTTACTGAGAGCACAATATGGAGATGTTATCATCGATTGTTATCATTCCAGTAAATACAACATGTCCGTAATCTAATATGATGTGTCACTGCCAGGTTGTTTTAATTAATAGTAGATGCATATAATGGCAGGAACATTCGTGTGATTGTAACTGGATTCAAAAAGGAGTAATAGAGGCTCTGGGTTTTGTCTTTCCAGCAGTCACACTTAGATCTTGGAGAGCTTGCTGTGAATTAGTGTCGTTGCAAAGTGGGGCACACGAGTAAGCACTACTACCACAGTGATATATGGGTGGAGAAGTGCTTCGGGGTGGACTATACTGAGAAACATCCGAGATATGTTGAAGATCAGGGGATGCTGTGACAAAGTGAGGATTAGCCTTTCCAATTAACTGTGAGAAGCTGTGGAGGAGAGCAGAGGGCAGACTCGGCCTCTAAGAAGCAGAAGTGTTACTCCACCAACTTACTGCTGACGTTTTCCCCGTGCCTGTAGATATAAGCAGAATATCCGTAGAAAATCTTTTGCACAAACAACCACAGAAATGCAGCTGTTTTCTTTCAGCTGTGACGATTTGATTGTTTGCCTGGGAAAGCCGGGGCCAGGACGCAGCGATGGCCTTCTGTAGGCAGCATGGTGTGTGTGGCTCTATTCAAAATGGATGCTGTTTGAATAGGCCGGGGGAGTTCGAGTGAAAGGATGCAAATTGTTGATATGGTAAATGCAAAGCTCAGACAAAAGCCCCAGTGTTTGTTTGACTCGGTCATTAAGTCTATTTTGTGTCTGTGTATTTGAATGTCCGTGACTATGACTTTTATACACCACCATGTGTGACAGATAAAAACTGTGTTTAAAACTACAACTAATAATATCTACCATGCATTGGAGATGGATTATCTAGGGGAGGATAAGAGGCAGTTGTAGGTCAACTTCAAAACACTATTGATCTCATGTTCATCCAAAAAAAAAAAAGGGCCAGTTTTCTCCGACTTCTGGGTCACAGCTTCCTTTGATTATATCACAAGTTTTATAGCTTCTAATCCTATTAGGCTTAAGAATGTGCTATTTATGGATAGGCATGATTTGTTTCACAATTAATCGATTAGTTGTTTGGTCTATAAAATATCAGAAAATAGTGAAACTGTCTTGAATCAGTTTCATCCTCACAAGTCTTGTTTTGTCCACAGGTCATTAGTATTCAGTTTACACTCATAGAGACATTTAAGGAGCTGGAATCTGACAATTCAGACTTTGTTTCTTGAAAAATACACAGACCAATTATCAAAATAGTTGGCAATGATACTTCCTTAGTCACTATACTGCAATGTTGGCAGATTCTTAACAAGCCTTCCCTAACCCCTCTACTCTCTGTGGCTTTGCATCACATAAACAAACCCACATTAAGCTGTTGAGACAGACTGATTTCTGATAATGAATTCTATCGATTAGAAAGTGTATTCTCTAAAGTAAATACATTTCACGTCTCTCTCTCTCTGATAACTCATTTTCTCTTTCTCTGCCACATAAACCAGTAAACATAACATAAGCCTGGCTACTTGGCAGTCTCTTATCCTTTTCCCAGATCAAACTCTCTCTCTCTCTCTCTCTCTCTCTCTCTCTCTCTCTCTCTCTCATCTCTCTCTCCTCCTCCTCTCTCTCTCTCTCCTCTCTCTCCCCTCTCTCTCTCTCTCCTCTCTCTCGTTCCTTCTCTCTCTCCTCCTCTCGTGTCTCTCCTCTGTCTTCTCTCTCTCTCTCTCTCTCTCTCTCTCTCTCTCTCTGCTTCCCTCGAGCTCTAGGAGACATGAAGTCACAGACTCTCTGGGAAACTGGGGGAAAGGCTCCTGAAGGTCAATGTGTAACACTTGGCTCGCTGTGGAGAAACACCTTGTTTATTCAGCTCAAACTGGTTCGAACTGAGATTTCCTTCTGCTAGCTCAAGCCTTTGAGGCACTGAAGTGTTGGGGGTTATAAAATGTTTTGGTAGTTGATAGAAAGTTGTCAAATATCCGTTATTTACAATCCGGCTTGTGCCATTCATTATCCAAGGACACTTGTTGTAACAACTCCATGTCTTGTTACTTGCTCGAGGTCAGGGGTGTCAAACATAAGGGATGAGTTTGTAAAGTGTACACATTACAGAGAAGACATAAACTGCAATTTTCACAACTTGTATGTATTTTGTATACATTTTATATATGTACAAGGCAGGGGGATAACTTAACCTTCCTTAACACTGTAGTTCCCACCTTAGTTTGTTGGTGGTCTGTCAGTTCAGATGGTCAGGATTACTACACATATGTGGAAATGAATGTAAAGTCATTTCTAAATCTTGACCGTTGGTTTTGATCATAAAGTAAAATAATATATTGTTCAGTTCCAGATACCGGTGACTACATTTTTTGTGTCTTTGTAGATACACTGTGATTTGTAAGATGTGTAAATGATAAACTGAGGCATAATATTGTTCAAATTGCACTTCAAAATATCAGGTTGTTCATAATGTTTTGCAAAAAGATAGTTCATTAAATGTGAACATTCTAGAATGTACTTTTTGCACTAAAACAAAGAGAACAATTTGGAGTTGTCGTTATTTATAGGGTTTTTATGATTTTACTGGTCCGGCCCACTTTTTGCCCATTTGGCTTTATGTGGCCCCTGAACTAAAAATGAGTTTGACGCCCCTGCTGTAGGTGCTGGAGAGCTTTAAGATCATGGACTACAGTCTGCTGCTGGGGGTGCACGTCCTGGACCAGAGCCAGAGGGAGGGGGGGGGAGCCGGGCCAGGCGGGGGGAGACGGGAGGAGGCCTGTGGGTCAGAGGGTGCTCTACTCCACCGCCATGGAGTCCATCCAGGGAGACGGCAAGGCTGCTGAAGCCCTCACCACAGACGACACGTGAGTGGACTCAGCTGGGGAAAACACACACACACACACACACACACACACACACACACACACACACACACACACACACACACACACACACACACACACACACACACACACACACACACACACATATCTGGGCATACACACTCTGTCTCTCTTTTAATCTCCACCTTTTTTCTCATGGAGTGAGTTATACAACCGTGCTCATACCTCGCAAAGGGCACTCAGACAGTGAACACGCAGTCAGCCTCTCATATAACCATAGCTACACAAATACAAACACAGCCACTGTTCTGCGTATTTACAGCGATACACACAAATGTAAATACTGTAAGTGCCTCTCTTCTACAAACATTTGTGCAGTAGTTCAAGCACTGAAGAAGAAGAAGAACAGTAGCTTTTATCTGACTGCGGGTGTGTTTGTTCTCTGTTTTAGGATGGGTGGCATCCCTGCCAAAACACACAAAGAAGAAAAATTGTTCATCTTCCTGGGCATCATAGATATTCTGCAGTCATACAGGTAATGATCGTTATGAGGTTATATAACCTGCTGCTGTCTTTCGTTCCCAATACTAGTGCTTTTAATGATTTTGACATTTAATCCATTTAGATCTGACTAATCTGCAGAAATAGTCAAATGTCTTAACAATAGCCAATACAGATGGGACAATGAATGGGAATGAATAGTTAAAGACTGACTGAGGGTGATGCCATGCTGCCATACTCCTTAGAGTAACTGCTTCGATTGCCCTACTACCAGACCTCTTAATGGTGAATTATTACCCTGCATTGATGGATAGCCACTTTACCGCACTCCTAAAAGGACCTTTTCTCTATCCGACACGATTGAAATGGACACAGCGGTCTATAAGTCTTCTTTATTTACACATTGATTTTCTTTTTCCTTCCTGAGAGCAAAAGCCTTGAGTGACCCAGGAGGAAGCTTTTTGGCTCATCGGCTTCTCAAACTTGTGGACAGCATCAAATAAATCAGGGAGGAAAGATGAATAGACCAAATTTGTGTCCTCTGGAAGCCTGTTTCAGAGACAACGTTACATAAGTTCAAATTTTGATGTATTTTCTGCTTTAACGCTAAAAAAAATGACCTGAGTTTGCATTGTGCCTAGGGGGAATAGACTCAGGTTTGATCAAGCATAAAGAGGAAGTTGTTGGGTAAGCGGATACATTTTTTGTGACAAGGCTTGTTCTTGTTTTGTTTCTCCCCAGGTTCATTAAAAAGTTGGAGCACTCGTGGAAAGCCCTGGTGTACGATGGCGTAAGTCGATATGCTCAAATCTGACTCCAGTGCTTTCATGAATGAGCCTTTTATTTGGTCACATACTACTCCCGGCCTTCTGATGAAAGCTTTTTCTCTGCCTGTCCTCAGGACTCCGTCTCGGTGCACCGGCCCGGGTTTTATGCCAGCCGCTTCCTCAAGTTCATGAGCACACGGGTCTTCAGGAAGACTCAGCGTAAGTCTGCAGGTTCATCGTCGTCACACATGGGAGGGAAAGCTGCCCGCATGTAAAAACAGAAGGGGCAGCAGTGGGAAGTAGGAAATCCTGGCCTGATAAGAAGAGTTAATATGAAGCCAGTTTTTATTTTCTATTGCTGAGCAGTTGTGTGTCACTGTTACATCATTAGATTAGTGGAAATTCACTTAAGGTAAATAGTGAGTAGTGTTTCCTTGTATTGTCTGCCTGATCAGACAGAGGATTTTCTTTTCTTTCCTGTTATTGTGTTTCTTTTGTACAAGCATTTGAGGCCTAATATGTGTAGAAATGTCAGCTTGGATTTCATTAGAGAATAACTTCATTTTATTAGGAACATCATGTTGGGTCTGTGTTGGCAAACATGCTGCTAGGAGATTAAAAACAGATTGAGTTTGTTGTCTGGCATTTACAAAGGTTACAAAACCCAATGAGGTGGATACAAAAAGGTCAATTATCTTCTTGAAGTTAATTCCCTGAGTACTGGGCATGGCTGTAGGTAGAGCCAGGATGTAGTTGTGGAACTTCACATCAACATCTAATGTAATATCAATGTTATGCAACCCTGCGAGACCCCCCTGTGTGAATGAACATGGCTGAGGCAAAGATTTGGGGATTTAGCCGTGCTATTAAGCGCCGCCAAGTCCCGTCAGAGGGAGATGACAGGAAAGGATTTCATTTCATGCTCTTCTTGTTAGGCAGAATAAGGATGGCTAAGGGGACACTTGTCCAATCATCATTTTGCATTTTAACAATTTAATAACTGGACTGCTTATTTTAGGAGGCATGGCATTGGAGTTTCATTGCGTTTGAACATTGCTTCAATCGGTATAATCGTCCTCGTCTCCTCTTTTTATGCTTCTCTGAACCTTCATCACTCTCTCTCTTTTCTTGTCTTTCCACTCACTTGCTACGTTTTTGCTCTGCAGCGCTTCGATTCTCCCCTTCAAAGAGAACTCGTACGTCCATCCCGGCTCTAAAGTCGTCCTCGCAGGAGATCCTTTCATCGCAGGCAGATGAGAGGAACGAGGAGGACAGGAGGGAGCGGCTGGGGGGCGCCTGCAGCCTGGCCAGTCTGGAAGGACAAGGTAGACAAAACACAACAAGGACCACCTCACTCTGTGACAACTTATACTATATACTGTATCTGAGAACATTTAGGGATGCTAAAAAGACAGCCTGAATGATTCAAGAGCTCGTTTGAAACTCAGAACGATTGTAGGCCTGTGCAGTTTTACCGTTATCTTCACCATGTCCCTCTCTTCTCTGCCTCCTAATCTGCCATTTCAACGTGAGTCATTTTCTAGTTTTTATGGCTTATTAGAGCACCACACATGAGGCCATAAACAGCCACTTGAATTCCGCCATAAAAATGTTGTCCTCTGAGTGCTGTCCCAGTGGGCAGCCATCACTGTTTGATATAGTGTGTGGCATTAATGGAAAGGAAACGGAGGCAGGCCAAATGCAGCCAATCAGAGACAGAATTGTGTGTCTTTAGAAATGAAAAGAGTTCCTTACCCCCCAGTTAGAAAATATATAGAAATCAGATGTTGGAGAAAAGGTGTGGCAGCGACATCGTCTGACCTTTGTGTTTGTTGTGATGTGGGAGTGTTATCCAACACAACACCGGAAGAAACAAGGGTGTGGAGCGGAAAGGGGAGTCACCGGGTCACGAGCCGTTCTTCTTTACAACCGAGCGCTCCCCCTCCAATGACTCCACCTGTGACGCAACACACTATAAAGCTATATTTTTACACTTCCTGACTCTCTCTTTTTTTTACGGTTACCAAATCAGTCTCAAAAGAGGGCAGAGATATTCTGTTTTACTGGAGCATGAGGTTGTTTTTAGCAATATATGTCAGTTTTATTGGAACCATTTAATCAATTAACTGAAATCAGGTCCTCATGTGCTGCGTTGTCTCCGTCATTAGGCTAAACTCTCTACAATGGAAAGCACAAAGGACATACAAGAATTTCCTCTGGTAGATGTCAACAACTATAAAATGCTGTATTGATCATACTGATTGTTTAATGGGGCGTTTTTGGAAACATGTAAAAATATATGGCAGTGGATGTCGGTTGGTCTATGTATATACTCAAAATAAGGAGAAGTAGACATATTTACAAAGAAAAGTTCAGTTTACTGGTCATCATGGATAGTACAAAAAGTTGTATGTTGATATGAGAGCTTTCAAAAGTCAGTCTTAGTCTCTTTTCAGCTGAGTTTGGAGACCAAAAGAAACTTAAGGAAATCTAAAATGGAGGGATGGAGTATAAAAGATGTTGACGAGGCATCAGGGGTCAAACTCAAATACAGGATGGAAAATGTAGGTATGTGTACACTTTTTGTACCCTAATGAAATCGATGTGTTTTTCTTCTCAGCTGTGTTTGGCTCGTACCTGCGCCCCGATCTGGTCCCCGCCAACCCGTCCTTCTACGAGGGCTCCTCCATGGGGACCATCTCCACCTCCTCCATCTTTGTCAGCGTGGACAACAAGACCGAGAGGTACAGTGTCTACTTTGCTTTCATGAAGACACTCTGTGTTGATTTATGGGTGGAGTGTGTCGTTTATCACCCTTAAAACAATGCTGCAGGTTAGGCCAGAAGCAAGGCAAGTACATCTGCCACGCCTTACACACACATCCACACACTCCTACGTTATTGCCACCTTTGCTCTTACATCACATGTGCGTCATGGAGTAGGTGACTCAGCTGGCCTGGTGACATGCATGCATGCATACACACGCACACGCACACACGCACGCACACACACACACACACACACACACACACACACAGACACACAGAAAGAAAGAAAGGATAAAAGGTGTGATGGTGGGTACTGTTACATTTACAAGACAGAAAAAAGGGAATATTCATAAAGCACAACCTTTTTCCATTGAACGGCTTATCTGTTCTTCAAGGCCTGAAAGCCTTCACTGGCTTATTTATCAGCAGTTCTCACAGCAATTTCTATTATTATTCATTCAATGTATCATACTATTACAATCTAATAAAAGATTAGATTGTAATACAACTACACCACATTTATTTTGTTACACTCTATCTTCAGGGTGGCTAGGATTAATTTGCCTTTTGCCAGAAGCATATTTAAAACGTCGTCCTCCCCTGTCCTTTTGTCCTTCTGTCCAGCAGTGTCAGGTTGAGCTCGCTCTCTGAGGCTTCATCAGTCACCTGCTGCTGCGCTGACATTGTTCTGTCAACTGTTTTCATAAATATGTAAACGGGGGCTTTGACGTGGCCTTACTTTGTGCCATTATGCTGCAGAAACACTGGGACAAAAGAGGACAATGTTGTGGCGTGGCGACTGTATGTACCCACCAACAATCATCCCTGTCTTACAGCCGGTGTCCCAGTTACAGGGCTAACACCATCGGGGTGTGATGTGTCAGGGTGGGATTGAGCTCCTCTCCACCTGGCTTTCATTTTGAATTTCTCACAAGTCATAAAAGTGTAAAAATCACATTCTTTATCAGGGAGTCACCTGATAGAAATACCTGGGGAACCGCTCTCAAGTGGCGGAAATGTAGAGAAACAACAATGCTCTCTCCTAAAGGTCAAGCTACACCTAGTCACGTGACTCATGTGTTGATGCAGGCTCTCCTTGTTGAAGTCCTTGTATTTGCTGGTGGCAAGTTTTAAGTTAAGAGGTTTTGTGTATATTACATTTCTTTGAGCTCTTACAGAAGGTGATGCCTCTGTAGGTTTTACTCTCTGATACATTTGTGAATTATTTTGTAACGCCATTTTCTATTTCCAAATGTATTTTTCATGTTCTAGTTTTTGTTAATATCGAGTGGTGGGAAAAGTGTTCAGATTCTTTGAGATAAAAGTACTAATACCACTCTGTAAATATAGTTAGGTAAAAGCACTGGATTTTACTTAAGTAAAAGTATTAAAGTAGGATTTAAAAAAAAATGAACTAACAATTGGTAACAATTAATTATCTGTTAACCCACTCAGGGTTTTAGTTACTTAAATATGTCGGATGGTTTCATCAATACCAAATCATCATATCTTAAGTTTTTCCTAAGTATTCAAGTATTAAAATCAGAATTTCAAATCAAAGTAAAGGTTGTGCAATTGTCTACAACAATTACATTCTTAGGTTTGTACCATCTCAGCAAGGCTTGCATTATGTCACTGTGTTCACATCTGGCCAATCTTAAGGAGATTTTGTTCATTTCCTGTGAGATATTTGTGAGACTGTAAGCCTCTCACTGAGGCCGGCAGCAGACAGGTTTCCCATCATGCTCGCAGTCGGTACATCTCTTTGTCTCTTTGATGTCAGACTCTCTGCAATAGTATGTGATTTGTTTGTGGAGGCTGTGTTTTCTCATCACTTTCTAAGCACTGTTTGGACAGCTGCCTCTGACCCAGACTATAAACACCAAGTGGTGTCTCCTACGTAGGTTAATATGAAGAATTATTGTTCCCTTTCAGAGATGACGCTGCCTCCAGCTCCACGTTCACCTTGGAGGACAGCGCTATCTGCCTCACTTCGGAGCAGAGCACCATGGATGTGGACCTAGACCGCGATGACGGCTCGGTTCTGGATGTGTACTTGGTGAGTGTTCCTCCATTCAGGTCCCTGTGGGGTCAATTAGGTTTTGTCTTTATAAAGGTGTTGGTTCTAGATCAGGGGTACGGCCCGGGGGCCAAACTGCGGCCCTCAGCAGATTGTGAAAGTATAATGGAATATGGCCCACAAATGGTGCTTGTCTTAGATTGTACTTCTTAAATATATATGTAAACATATATTACTCAGTAGTGTATTCATGTGTTAATAAGTGCGCTTTTCAAATAAATTAAGTCAATTCAAGTTTAAAACTATTTCTAACAAATCTAAGTTGATAAGAAAAAAGCCCAATAACCTATTTGTATAACAAGCTTGAAATAGACCCTTCATATTTCCTCTTATACGCAATCAGACGCTTCTGTTTTAAGGAATGAGCTGCTAACAAAATAAATGAAACCTGTGATGTAGGCGGGTTTTTTCTTAAAGCATATTCAAGTATCAAACATAATTTAACTACATTTGATTGATTTTGCTAACGTATAACTTAATTTATGAGGCAATATACCTCACCTCTAGTGAGTGGCCCAGCCCTTCGTATATTTTTCCGTATGTGGCCCTCAGTGAAAAAAGTTTGAACACCCCTGTTCTAGATGTTCAGCTTGGTTACCTTCAGGCCTTTGCCACATTGATGATCGCCCTTTTCTCTCTTGTCCCTGACAGTGAAAAGAGCAGCGTTAAAACCTCCATTTCCTCCTGCCAATCATCAGACAATCACCGCACTCCATTTAACCAACCAGGCTGGCCTTTGACTTCCTGTGCTGCTAGATCCATGTTGCCACTCGTATTGCCAACACATAAAAAGACAGAGATCCTCCACCGGTTGATGGACTAAAAGAAGACACAACGACGGACATCTGCAGGAACAATGTGACCAATGTAATATGATGAACACCAGGCTGTGTCGCTTTTTAGAGCATGCATCAACGCAGTGCCATTAAGTTTTATATATGTATTCTGTTTCCATGGCCTACACAAAGATCGAGATATTTACTATATCTTAATACATATGAGGAGAGGGTAGATACATTTCTTTGACCGTGTTTCTCTGCTGACCAGACCTTTTTAAAGTTTGCAATGTTGCTGATCAGAAGAGAAATGTTTACAGTGAATTAATGACGTCGTCTTTGTCCCTGATGAACGAGGATGTGACACAAGCCAGCAAGGATGAGAAAAGACTCATGAACTAACATGATGGATTCTGAAGCTCCGGAGGCCAAATACAGACTGTGACGTGGTTGAAGCAGCAACCTTTTTCCCTTACTGGGCTGTTGTTCGCGCTGCCTTGACGATAACCTGAAGAGAGGACAGTTACAGGATCTTTGATGAAGCACAGAGCCGAGGGACGGTGCACTCGCACTTTGGACATCGGTTATGATTACTGTAAGAAATATCTTTCTCTCAAGAAGTTGCTTTAGTGGGTGGGCTACCTGACATAAGCACACATTTGGATACGTGAATATGCACTTTTAGTTCCTCTTTACAAATGCACACCTCTGTAAGTCCTTGATACTACATGTACAGAGACAGTGAAGGAACAACGTAGATAATTTTTGATGTGGAGCTAATAGTTTTGTGACTGACGATGCTTTAACTCAGGATATCCTTTGATACTGAAAAAGTGGGTCCTCTTCAAGAAGTTATGGAACATGCAGCCTACATTAGAAGCTGTCCGATGCCATCATCAAGACCATATCCGACTATAAATGTTGAATTCCACGATCACACGTCAGTTGAGACCATCATTTATTATGTAAATCTCAACATTTTACCATTTGCTGAAAAATACTATAAATCGCTGAATGTAAAGACAATGCATATTTATATTTAGAGACTCGTATAAATAAATGGCTAAAATGTCAGGGTCTTCTGTTGAGCTTATGATGCTTCTGAAAAAGTCTTTGTTTTGTGATTTTAAAGGGGCCTTATTATGCTGAATTTCAGATTGAATTTATATGTTGTGCCTCTACTGTGACATGTCTCCATGCTTTGACGTTCAAAAGCTCTTTATTTTTCGCATACTACCTGTACTGCAGCACCTCTTTTGACCCTCTGTCTGAGCACAGTCTGCTCTGATTGGTTAGCTGGCCGACTCTGTTGTGATTGGTCAACCGCTAAGAGAGGTCCCACCCCTTGCCTATGCCTATCGCATGCAATGTGTTGGGAGTGCTAGCCAATATAATCACATGTTACGGAACGGAAGTAAACAAAGAATTACAATCGAGGCATTTCAGTGTGTGGGAGAGAAAATCCCTCTGGAATGAATTTTGGGATTTTAGCCTTTGCAGTCCATTTACATGCACACAAACCTATAACATACTACAGGAAAGGGATAAACACAAAAAGCACAATAGGCCCACTTTAAGAAATGACCCTCACTTTCACAGCAGTATACTAAACTTAAACAGTGCTATTGCTTCTGTTGTGTAACCATTTTAATTTACAGAACATTGTCAAATTGCATTACATTTAGTGCAAATAATAACACTTCTGATGTACAACTTAGAAATATACAAAATATTAAAAACGCTAAACGCATTCTTCGGCTGACATTGCTCGTGGCTCTTGTAATCATCAGCAAAACAATAATCCAGATCCTTCCTTAATTCTGACCCCTTTGTGATTGCAAAACTCCCAACTTTTTGTCATCAAATACAATCTAAAGTCAATTTAAATCTTGAGGTAAGATGATGTGAAATGCTGACCCTCCCCCCCCCGCTTCATTTCAGTGTTGATAAATGCACATCTGGTGGATGTACAGTAAATATAACCTGGATTTCCATCCTGGTGTCCAAGGCATTCTGGGGGTAGTTTATCAGTCAAAGGGCAAGAGGCCACTGCACTGTAGTGTGGCATGTGAAATGTGAGTATGACTAGGAGTCTGGGGTGTAGATGATATCCTACTCAACATATTACAAAGTTACCTTATCTTGCTCAATAGCAGCGGGACTAATTTAAAAACACTCATGAATGATTTTTTTTTTTGGTAAAAATCCACCCAGGGGTTTATAAAACGTATCCACTCATCTCTCAATAAAAGAGAGGCAACTTTACATGAGACACTTTGGCTGGCCTTTTGCAAAACGACTGTCAAAACCTGTGTTATGTGGGGATTAAAGACAATACACACTGACAGTAGGCTGCAAATAAGCATCTATAGACCACAGTCAACTACACTTATATTCAATTATTGATTATCACTTCAACCGTGTCAAAGATATTGTCCAACATGACTTAATCTGCAGCTTCAGGTGTCCTTGGCCCATGAATGTAATCAAATTCAAGCATTTAACAGTCAATTCACATTTCTCATATTGGTAGACTAACTGAGAACATATTTTCTCTGTACAATACATTGTGTCCCTGGTGCTTTCTGACAGCTAGTTTCATTACAATCTAGAAATATAAAGATTTCAAAGCATCAAACCGCAAAGAGAGTCCTCACCAGAGGGACAGGAGAAGGCAGGAGGAGGAGACGCTGCACCACACCTCATCAACGCTGTCTTGTCAAAATCGACTCTCCTCTCTCATGGTAGTTACTTTAGCAGCAGCAACACAAGTAGCTGTAATACTAGTGATTAAAGCAAACCCAAACAAAAGTCAAGAAATAGGTAATCATAAGAAATGTACAAAACAATTTACAAAAAAAAGCAATCATTGGTAACAACAACAACTCAAAAACCACTTAGGCAATTCTTGAATTGACATACAAGTGTACCGATGCCCAACAACATGGTGGCCGGGACGACAACTACTGATGGATTAAAGCCGTAGAACCAGTCTCTTCTACAAGCAGGAGTCCAGCAGGACGTCCTGGGTGATAAAGGGTCCTGCGAGTAGTAGTTTAACACATTCTTATTGATAAGTGAATGGGTCATGTAGTCTTTGAGCGCCGGTTCAACACTGAACAATGTAGTCTTTCCACTGGGCGAACGTGGCCCTCCGCAAGCCTGAAACAAAAAGATTTATTAAATCAATATCCAAGAAAAGCTGAACTATTTTGTATGTCTTTTTAAGACAAGGCAAGTTTATTTATACAGCACCTTTCGTCACAAGGCAATTCAAAGTGCTTTACAAAAATGAAAGACATTAAGAAACATATTATTTATAAACACTCATTTAAGAGATAAAGATAATAAAACATGAATAACAAAAAGGTACATGAATTAAAGTTACAGTGCAGTGTGAGATACACACATCTGAAATGTTTAGGTCTGCATTGCTAACTTTTTAGCCCTCACTTTCTTTAACTTATCCTTTAGTTATTTCAAGTGTTTCATGCTAAACGAACCCCCCTTACATTTAAATACAGATAAAGCACCATGTCTTGAGTGTAATGAGTGTTCGACTGCCCCTGGTTACCTCATTGCGTTCAGAAGAGGATGGGCTTCCCAGCCGTTTTCTCCTGGACGTAGGAGGTGAAGCGTTTGAGGAACTTGGGATACTCTCTCTTGGCCACGGCTCTGAGGACGGAGGCCGGCGCCCAGCCTCCTGGGTTTACTGCAGACACACAGAGGAAATCATCAGGAAACTGTGTGTGCTTACTGACAAGAACACCATTCATCTAAATTAAACCCACAGTGTGCGTACACTGTACACAAACAGGTCTAGGCTGCCCTCTAGTGGCATTGTCTTATTAAACTCCCCTGACCTGTCCTGCTTCACAAACAATACACTGGCTGATACTTTCTCCAGCGCTGCTTCATGTCACGATAAACCCGCCTACAGGAAGTCAGGGGAAGTCAAAGTCTGGAATAATACTTGAAAGACGGAAGCACGCACACTCTTGGTCCAGCTTACTGTACCAAGAGCAGCAGACACACTGGCTCCTATGAGGTTGTTCTGAATCTTTTGAGGAAAGGCTGTCAAACACAAACTAATAGCAACTCAGTAACATCATACTGCATCATCAATAATAATAATAATTAGGAATGAACATACAACTAAAAAATAGTAAGAAGCAAGCTACAGGCAATCCACTTCTTTGAGGCACTTCTGTGACTGGCAGCTACTTCTCAGTAGTCAACAAAACAAACACCCCCCCCCAGATAACCTCTCATGTGCTGACTCGAGCTGTATTTATTTAGGCTGATGGGATATTTGAGCTCCGACTGGCCTGAGGCTATTATTCACTCAAATGGTTTTTACCGGCTTGCCAGTGAATTAGCATGAATGCCATAGTGTCTGACATTATTCATGCTTTCCTCCATCTCTCTTTTGTAGTTTAGATAACTTGTGGGGTTTTAGTTGCATCACATTTAAATCTTAAAGTCCAATTTATAAATAACTAATTTGCCTTAAGAGAGCTTTTCCAATCTATACATCATCGTCTGTCCTTTGGCCTTTGCAGTGAAAAAGTAAAATCTCCCACGAATGAAACAGGCAGACGTGCAATAGAATAGAAGTGCAGTATAAACAACATAATAACTTCAAAGGATTTAAATAACATTATTAGTATGAATCATCACACATGAAATTGATCAGGAGTCAGGCCTCAGCCAAAACTCTTCCTTCTGGTACTCACACTAGTTTGTAGTTAATCTTGAGGCGCTTGTAGGTACTTTATTAGATTGATGATGATGGAGGTGCTTTGTTCTGTAGGCTGCAGATCTATAAACACAGATCTATACCTTAATGGGCTGGAGAGACACTCACCATTGGCAACGTAGGTGATCTTACAAAGGATGTTGTCTCTGCTGATCTCTTTATCCCCCTCTGGTGGGCTGACCAGCGTTTGGCAGATCATAGCAACATTGATTTTGGCACGAACGCACCGGTTTGTGGGCTGGAAGTAAAACAAAAATGTAAATGAAAACAAACTCCAAGCTGCCACAAGTCTCACTCTAGCTATCTGACAGAGGGCCTGGGGGTTAAAGGTTATTGTAATTATATGCTTAAATGAACCAAATGTATAATTATTACAGCACTTGGAAGCCTGACACATCGCCCTCGCTCTACTGCATGATATTGACAGGTGTTGATGAGGTAATCTGACCTGGGCATCGTTGTGGTCCACAGAGAAGTTGCACACCAGCCACGTGTCGGGGTCGTTCTCATTGGTCGACAGGATCTTCCTGATGGCTGACAGATAGAGCACGTCTCTCTGAGAGGCCGGCCACACTCTCTGAAACACAACAGAGGCTTTCAGTCAGAGCTACAGAACATCACTGATGTGCAACATGTTTTCAAAACCACCAGGAATGTACCTTGTGCGTCTGGTAAACAATGACGGCGTTATCAGAGAGCGTTTCCACAACGTTGAAGTTTTCAATAGTGGCTGAAGGAAGTAGAGATCAGTCAGTTTTTGAGATTAAAACAGAGAAAGTCAAACGGTGTTGATGTGACAGTGACTTCTGAGTCAACTTACTCTCCCAGTCCATTCGGACCGCCGTGTCCCAGAAGTAGTGGCAGACCTCGTGTCCCGTCACGCCCTTCACTGAATGCGTGGCTTTGAGAGGATCCAGCACAATACCGTTCTCCTCCACTTCCCTCCTGTACACCTGTGACAGAAAACAATACAATTATCACATTAATTAAGACAAATCAATTCATCCATATGACCCTTTGTTGCAACCTCACTGCTAAAAGTTTTACCATTGAGGGATAACTGAAATTATATATATTAGGTTCTTGTAGTGATTTAAGGAAACACATTTTGACATTAAGTGTGACGCTAGATATAACAACACTGAGAAATATTAGAAAGAAATACCGCTTTGTGAATTGTTTCATGGCTCCTACAGTACTTAGTTCTTATTGTATGGATTTATTGGATTATCCATTGTGGCATGTATATTTTTATTTTAGAACTCATTTTGAGATTCATATTTGCATTTTGTGTCTCTACTCTGACATGTTTACATGCTTTAACGTTCACAAAGCTCTTTATTGTCCTCCTACTGCCAGTAAACCTATACAACACACTACAGGAAAGGAAAAACCCCAAAAAGGCCAATCTAGTCCCATTTAAATATTTGAATAGGTCTTCTTCCTCTCCTAGCTTATACGGGTGTTCTCGGTGCTTCCCCTTGCGACCACAGAGCCTCGTCTAAAAAGTGAATAGTCTAAAATATTCACAGCGAGAAATAAAAGGGAAATGATTGATGAACAGCTTCGGTGCTCCCCACTCACCTTCATCTCTCCTTCTTCTATTACCAGCTGCCAGTTGGCATCTCCACCCATATCCTGAAGAGAGTAGGTCATGTGGTTCTGCACATTCTCCTCCACCTAAGAGACAGAAACAGGCATTGATTAAAGGATTATGTGAGTAAGTGTTTTATCTTTCTTCACCTGCCTGTTTGAGGGCATGCTGTGAATACATTGCATTAGGGATGCTAAGATCAAGTTGATTCTATTCTACATGAGTGATTTATAGGTTTGAGCAATGAACACTCACAGCGACTGTGCTGGTATTTGATCACAGAGGTTTTTATAACATCACAGTATTGTCAAACTAGTATTTCCCTATTCAGAATCTTAGGAATAACCTTAGCAAATAGATTAACCACTGAGCTGTAAGCGAATAAATATACAACACTTGATCCTGCTAGGGGGTTTTATTGAAGGATTGATGCTGTGAAGGACAGAGCGATGTGAGAGGAGGAGGCAGGAATGAAGAGTGTGAATAGATTCCAGTCATGCAGCGTTAATATAACAGTTTTTCAACCTGTCAGTCACTCCAGGAACTTTGTCTGGTCAGGCTTCGTGTTTTACCTAATACATGCGTGAGGGCTGCACGATATTGGAAAAAAGTCATATTGCGATATTTTTCCCCCTGCGATATAAAAAAATACAGGAATTGAAGAAAAGACAGTTTCTTTTGTCCGCAAACCATCCTTTCTTGAACTTTAATGCTATACAATTGGTATTTTTACAATTATATTTAACCAGATGAAGGATTTTAGTCACGCACTTCTGGATCTTAAGCTATCAAGTACCCCTGACATGAGAGCCACGCGAGTTTTCCTTTTGTAGCAAGCAGCAAAAATAATTTTAACATGACGTGTTTGAGTTAATTTACCTATTTAATATCGCTCGTCCTAAAAAATAAATAAAAATGTGAATATCGCGCATGCGCATAACGCGATTATCGTCACGACACGATATTTCGTGCAGCCCTAACATGCGTTACATGATGGATACAAGTTTGAGTGTAAAAACCTCCTATAACATGCAACTTAAAGCACAGGATACGTTAGTTAAATACTGTTCATGCTCTGACAGCAGATAGGGGTGCTCTCTGTTGACCAAATACAGTACCTGAGCGCTGAATCTGTGAATGTCATCGGAGGCACTGACTAGCTCAACGGAGGAGAGGGAAGAGGAGTGGCTATGGGGCTGTCCAGCAGAGAGGGAAATGGAAACAGAAAAGAATAAGAAACAAAAAAGAAAGCGGCGCCAGTGCAGAGAACAAAATCACAACCTGTTCAAGAAGCTCTTCGTATGAACAGCTTATGATTAGCAGCTCAAATGATTACAATAAGCACAAACTGATTCTCAGTGAGGACACATTATGAGAAGCACAGAGCTCTAAAGACTTCAGAGCGATGAGGCCTGAGTAGCATCAGGTAGCCCAAGCAGAACGGAAACTAGATGTACAATGATAAGACAAATAAGAAATGTCATGAGCACCTTGACGGCGTATCGGTGTGTACCGATGGTGGAGTAGGCGTCACCCGGAGGAACGGGGCTTAGTCGAGGTATCCTGACCTTCTCCGAGTGGCACTGAGGGACAAAGAGAGAGAAGAAAAAGGCAACACGCCCTCTCAGCACCCACGTGTCATTTGTCATCGTTTGAATGTGTTGATAGGGAAGAGAGGAGGAGGAGAGATTCAATGCGCCTTCTAGACTGAAAGGTGTTATTGTCACATGCGTCAAAACAGGACAGGACATTGAGTTTAGCTCTTCATCACACCTGCTCCTCTATCTTGTCCTGTCTGTCCAGAGCAGCTTCCACCGCATCGAAGAACTCTTCCTCATTGATCAGACTGTTGGGCCCCTCCTGTGGAAAGCACACGTTGTCAGCAACAGAGCAGGAAGATCAAAGTGCACACGTGATGTTGTTTATCAAGCCGTTTATGGTTTCTTATTTCATCTTGCCTCGTAGTCGGGTCCTCCGTAGTGGGACTTTTTCTTCAGCTCATTCACCGCAGACTTGTAGGCATCTTCTACCCTCTTCCTCTTCTCCAGCTCCTGAACACACAGAGAGTGTTGTTATTGCAACTATATTAAATAACAGCATGTGAAATAGAAAATGTTCATTTAAACATCTGTGCTGCATTGAAATGGAGATCCGTTTAACCTTTGACAACAATCTACAGGAATTCATATCGCAGAGTCAGATAGCATGTTCCCTCTGTGACAAAGCCTCTTTTATCAGTTCACAGTATTATCTTTAGATAAAGAGTAACAAAAGTGGAGAGAGGGCAGCATGTCGCCAACAATTGGTCGAACCCACTACTGTACGTGCGTGTACGCTGAAAACAGGTTTTACTTAAATGTGTCATTACCTGCCAGAGGCTCACACAATCAACCAAGTGAAGTAAAAACAACAGGCTATCGCTTTAAAATCAAGAACTAGAGATATCATATCACTATTAACACCTTCTAATACTTTAAAGCACTGAAACATTACAAACCAGTGTATGAATTTGGTTTCTCTGCCAGTGGAAATGATTCAAAACAAGCGTATTTAATGTGTAACTGAAACCATTGAGGAAACCAGACATAATGCAAAAAGAGAAAGATAGCTAACATAGCAAAAACAATAGCGGATATTAAACTAAACACAGTAAGCAGAAGGGTGTGGACGTATACCACATAAAGAACAAGAGGCGAACCTGTCGTCAGCTGTGTCACCACCAGACTGACTGAGAGACCTACTTTAAAGAAAAGGCTGCAGGTCTGTAGAGGTATCCATCTCTGTGTCTGGTACTTCAGCTGCTCTGCCCTCTTTTGTAGCGAAGGTTTCCACAAACTGCCCCATGAAGTCTTGGCAGTCATTCTTTTTGAAAAATCCCCTCTTGGTGTGAGTCTTGTTTCTTCGAGAGCGTGTTCTGAACTGTTTCTATTTCCCTACTGCGGCGGCTCAGCGTCACACACATAACCAAACACAGATAAGATTGAGGTAGTTTCACCCGAGCAGTCAAACCAACTGAAAGCACTTTTGTAGGTTTTAGGGTTGGGCAAAACGCATTTACACACTGGAAAAGAAAACTGGTTTGACAACATAAGCTGAGAAGGATGTAAGCATGAGGAGCGCCTTTAAAGACACAGACCGCTCTCTAGATAAAGCTGAAGAGATGAAAACAAAGGCACAACTCCAAATAACAATAGAGTTAAAGCTCATTGTGAGAACAGGTGTATCTATGCTTCCGGTGGGCTATTTTGAAACTGATCTAACGTCACCTAAATGATGTCAGATATAGTTGTTTTTCAGTAACAACCTGTAAAGAAGCTTTATATAAAAAAAATGTTCCGGTGATCTAGACTGTAGAATTTGACGACACTTTGCCAAACCTTTTTTAAACACTAATTAAGCAAATGTTTATTTCACGCCATCTTGCTTTACAATTGCAAACTTGGCAGCTGAACAGGGAACTGTATTGCACAATATCTTGCTAAATTACCACCCTTTAGAGCAGCTTAACATGTTCCACAATTAGCCTCATCATCAAACCACAACTTCATCATCTAAAAAGGGCAACAGTACTAAACTCTTGGTCATAATAACCAACTCCCTAAAGATGATGGAAGGCAGCGATTAACTTTCTTTAAACCTCCCTCACAGCACAGACTGCTGCCACGCCCACTCAGGAAACATGACATTTAGCACACTGAGTGATCTTAATCTGTGTGTGTGTGTGTGTGTGTGTGTGTGGAGTGCGAGGTCGTACCCTGTCCACTCTCTTCTGCCAGCTGTCCTCTCTCTTCATCATCAGCTCGATGCAGTGGGACAGAGTGGAAAGGATGCCTGCCGTGGTGGCCTTGAAGGTGATGGCCTCCCCCTTGAAGTCTATTCCATTCATACCTTTGGGACTGGCAGGTGGAAACACTGGCACGGAGAGAAACTAATAAATAACCGAGCGTGACAGCTTCCTCGTGACTTGATCTGACACACAGACTGTCTAGCATTTCACAATCAAATTATTTAGTTTTTATAAATATATATTTTTCCCCCCCACAGAGATTATGAAATAAAACAGTTAACTGCAGTTCAACTCACATTTCTCTTTGCTGCCATTGTTGTTGTGATTACATTCACCATCAGTTCTTGTAGTGTTGGGAAAGTCCTCTTCATCCTCTTCTTCTTCTTCTTCTACAGGTAAGAGAGAAACAGCCATCTTAGATACATCTATCTGTCCAGTTAAGCACATTTTAAGATGGCAGAAATACCTCAACCTGGCCATATTCAACAGGTGTCTTTACATCTCCACAGTTGCTAATTGCTTTCTTAAAGGTCCCATGTCATGGCCATTTCTACTGATCATAATTCCATTGTTGAGGTCTACTAAAATAGATGTATATTGTGCACGTTTCTCATACAGCATCTCTGTATAGTATGTGTATTCATTCTCTGTCCTAAACAGCTTGTTGGAGCTCCTGCCCCCCCTCCCTATGAGCCCAGTGGCCGTCTGAGACACAGCGAAACCCAGCCTCGCTGCGTCCCGCCGTCTCAGGGAGGAGAAATCGGCGGAGCTGCAGCTGAGAAAAGATTGAGTGTGTGTGAGGAAACGTAACGGCTCCGCGGATTGGTCCATTTGGGTATTCACACGTCACTGTGAGGCGTTCTGGGGCAGCATAGACAGGTCTTTTCTGTGTTAGAGTTTTACTCGCTACAGGGTGTACTTTGAGGGTTTGTGACTGCAGACCGTTTACATGCAGAAAAACCTTCATAACACACAAGGGGACGGGTAATAACCGGAAAAGCATGACATGGGACCTTTAATTGGTCAATTGTTGAAGACAAAACGCTTAATTTTTAGCAAAAGCATCTTTCAGATTGAAATACATATTTGTTAAACTGACATATGAGAGTTGTTTCAATATGACAGCGATTTTGTAGTATACAGAAAGCTTTTGCCTCAGAGATTAAACAACCCACAAAGTACCCTTAAAGTGGATATCGATTTTTGTTTCCGTATCAAGCACTCTCCTTTAACTCTCAAATGGCATGAAGCAAAGCTACACTATAAAGTCTTTCCTTGGCTAGTAGACATTAGGGATGGGTATCGTTTGAAATTTATCGATTCCGATTCCGCTTATCGATTCCGGTTCTTATCGATTCCCCGTTTCGATTCCAAAATTGTAAAAGAAAGAGGTCAAACGTTTAGATAACAAAAATATCTTTATTCTTTTAAGCTTTAACTGAAATTGTTATAAATAAAATATATACATGCAATACAAATGTATTGCACAATAGCTGTGCTTTATTTTAACTGAGCTTTGCCTGTGGCAAGCTATTAACAGACATTACACTGTGCCTTGTCTTTTTCTTTTTTAGTGTAGTGGAGCCACACTTCAGAGCGTTTACCGCGACCCATCTTTGGTGTTATGAAGTGACTGAGCCATGGATGTATAATAAGAACGACTGAGCTCGTGAAATGTCTACGGGAGGGCGGGAGGAGCCTCGCTGCGGGGCAATTGTGGACCTCTGTCGCCTGTCAGCGCAACTTACATAATGCCGTTTTTTTTTTTAAAAAGGGCGGTGCAGGCCGGTCAACGGCCCGCTGACGACCGGCTGTTCTGTGATTCTCCAGGCCCGCCCTGTATTCCACCGGGTCACCGCAGCGCCGCGGTGCAGACGGACCCGCTGGAATACAGGGTCTACCGCGCTTAAGAACCATTAAGCAGAACCGAAATTGTATATTTTGTATGGGTACCCGGCATTTTCTTATCGGTTCTCATCTGGAACCGAGTTTCGGTTCCCAACCCTAGTAGACATCAACACTGATTCCTCTTTGCAATGTCCACACTGCTCTATATATGTATAGGGTTGGGTTGTAACGTTGTAACGGAATACATGTAACGGCGTTACGTAATCAGAATACAAAAATCAAGTAACTGTATTCAGCTCGTGTTACATTTGAAAAACGAGTAATCTGATTACAGTTACTTTCGTAAACCTGAAGTGAATACATTTTGGAATACTTATTGGAATTATTGGTGGAAAGATTTCCTCACAACATTTAATATTCATTACTAAAGGTACAGCCGAATCATCACAGCGCACAAAACCTATTACTGCCGCAGATGGACCAAAAAAGGGAGCGTTTGAAAAAAAAGGGGCGGGTCCGCTCAGTGAAACAATAACAACGAAACATGGAGGAACAAAAGTCTGCATTTAAATCGCGCATCTGTGTTCGTGTGTGTGTGTGTGTGTGTGTGTGTGTGTGTGTGTGTGTGTGTGTGTGTGTGTGTGTGTGTAGAGGTGTGTGTGGTTAAAACACATCAGCCACACCGCTCTTTAGCCTTTCTAATGATTCTGAAGGTAAACACAGTAAAGGCGGTGCGTGAAAGGCTTGTCTTCTCAGAGGCTGAGTTAACCCTCCCGCTGCCTCCTGGCGCTGCAGAGATTTCATGAAGTGAAGGAGGTTTTCCTTCTACAAAACAGCTGCGGGCAGCAGATACTGTGAGTGTCACGGACATGAATTCATAGATCAAGGCAGACTGGTGCACACACTCTCCTGTTTTGCCAATCCGGTGCTTAAACAAAAATACACCCCTGGCCGAAATGTCCTTAAAATGAAGTCCGAGTTCGACATTTTAATTCATGTCCTGCCAACACTGGCAGGACAGAAGGCGACACGCCCTTTCTAAGCCGTGTCCCTCACTCCTCACATCCCAAGCTGCATCCCCAACAAGTTTATTATGTTGTTACATCGTTTCAGATGTTATGTTTCAGTTGTGCTCTTGATTAGACATTAAAACAGTAAAAACACGTTCAGTTTCCTTTTTATGTCTCCTGTTCACCAAAACATACCCATCTGTTATGGAAAAAGAAAGTAATCCAAAAGTAATCTAAAAGTAATCTGATTACTTTTTTAAGACACGTAACTGTAACTGTATTCGGATTACTTTCAGAGCCATGTATTCAGTAATCAGTAACTGATTACATTTACAAAGTAACCCTCCCAACCCTGTATATATATGTATAATATAATATATCTTACCCTACTTATAACTAATTTAAAACCTATTTTTAAATACATATCTCAAACTATACAGGCTTTATGCCACAGGTTACCTCTATCTCTCTGAAATTCATCTTTGGAGACAACGTCAGCACAGGAGTCAAAGTATTTCTGCAGCGTGTCCACTTGTCTGCACAGAATGTCCCGGAAGGTTTCCATTTCAGCGAGCTTCTCACGCAACCTGTGCCCCTTCTGAGCGGAGACAAACAGAAGTAAGAAGTGTGAGCTGTCAGGGGAAAGATTCATTTCCGTTCTATTGTTTAAACACAAGGCAAGGTCAGAATACAAAAGTCCAAATTCTTTCAGCTGACAAAGGTAGTAACAACAGATCTAGCATTTAGCTGGTAGTTTCAGAAGAGGACTTTGTATATGTGGCCAAAGTTAACATCTCTATTGATGGAACTAGTTCAGAGGGACTCAAAACATTTACTGTAGCATCTACAGTCTGGTGATCATTGTGACACCTTAAGCAAATATTTATATTTGAGAAAAGTCGTTTGTTTTGGCATGATGGCATATCCTTTGAATATCATTTAAACTTGTACCACTGTTTTTGTAAACGTTTGTATATTGGACTATGTTATGGTTATATTTTATTCTCTGTGGGAGTTTGTCCTTGACCGATGAGAGGGTCTAAAGGACAGAGGGTGTTGTATTCTCTACAAACTGTTAAGGTCCCTAAGACAAATTGATTTATTGATCGATAGTGCAGCATTCAGTATGCTTGTCCAAAAGAGTTTAACTACTTAATACCAGTAAGATGCTCGAAGTGTTGATCAAAACAAGTTTTTGATTTAAAGTGTACTCAAATTAAGTTTTATAGCATATGGCATACTTTTCAATCATCAAGTTGGTAGGGTTGTGTCGCTGTAACTTACTTTCAATGAATGTTCTTTTTAAAGCTGCCCGAGTACATCGGGTCTTCACAAAATGTTTGGTATTTCATGGAACTTGATTCAGGACTAAGATATGCTCGCAGACTAAGTGGCCTAGAAACCTGGTGCATTGGATAAACAGCCACTATAGTGGTGTTTTTACCTTGAAGGAGGATGTGGACGTGGCGGACAGGGCACTGGCTGCTGAGGTGAGAGACAACATGGACCCATGACGCCTGAGACTGCTTTCTGAACCGTAACCCGACTCGGCCTGGATTGAGGGAGAAAACAGACAGAATGAGGGAGGGAGAGAGAAGGATGTGAATAATAAGAATAGAGGAAAACAAAGGATCGGTATGTGCACAAAGCATATTTAACAACCTGCAATATAAAAGGAACGTTAAAGACAGACATAGAGAGGGGGAGATCAATTATAGCCGTCTGCAGCAGCACTGAGTAATGCTGATCCAGACCAGAGCAGGGCCTCCACCAACACACACCTACACACACCAAGTCTGCTGACAAATGCCCAGTTGCATCAAGACAGCCAGTATAGCTGATACTAAGTGGTTAAGAAACACTGAGTGGACAGATCTAGCATTGATTGAAGGAAGTAATGTTGTTTCTATCAGCACACACATTGTACTGTCTCACATAGCGTTATTATACAGATCCACATTATGGCCTGGCTTTAGAGAGGGAGGGAGTGGCAGTGATTTCATCCGTTCCATTAAACAGAAAACTTATGACGGGGCAATGCCTGGGACTGCCAACTCAGCAGCTTTTTGGAATACACAGAGCATGTGCATGCACACCCAGCCAACCCAACCAAAGCCAATATATTCTTGTGTCTCCATCATGCAGCTGTTAGCAGTTATCTACTCATTTAGAGAGGGAGACGGCAAATGAATGACCCAACATTATGATCCTAAAGTTAAATTCACACATTTTTCCAACCAGTAGACACAGTAATGTGGAGCTAAGGCGACAGGCTAAGGTCGGAAATGGTTCTACGTATAAATCAGGAAACTAACATCAGTGTTAGGATACATCGATTCAATTAAATATTGACCGCCACAAATAGATTTATTTTTGTTGTTGTAAATTGTACATTATATTTTTGGGAGAATAAACCCCACAGATCCTTAACTCCGGTGTGTCTCACTCATTAACAACGCAAACGCAGAAAAACAAGAATGTTGTCTGCTACAGTCGCCATGAACTCGCATGTATTTTGTTATTTGAGGGGGGGGGTGCCCCCACAAATAGCATCAAATTCGTTGGGAAACACTGAACATGTTTGGGGTATGTTTTAAATGTATGTTTGTTGAGGTTTAGTCATGGCCTCAAGGGACTGTAAACCCACCCTGTTTACTAAGTGGCATGCTGAGGAAGAACAGTGAGGGGGTCAGGTGACAGACGAGAGAGAAAGCAAACACATATTCCTCTCCTATACCTCATTCACACCAACGCAAATCCGGTTCAAGCTCCGTGCTAGAGCTTTTCAGGTTCAGAACCGGTTCTTCGGTTTAGCGGAGGCTCTTTTCACACCGCCCAGAGTCAGACTGGTGCTGCGTCATTGCGTCATCGTTTGCGTCATGATGTAACCGTTTGCGTGCCTGCTTCATTAAGCCAAACCGCGCGGAAACCCCTCACAACTGACACCGACAACAACAACAACGGCCGATTGTGCTCCAGCTTCCTTTGTACCTCTTCGGAAGACCAGATTCCCAGTAGGTAGCTGGTCTCTTCAGTGGACCACTGCTGCTTGTTAAGTTTCTCCATCGTTGTGTACAAGCTGGATAAAACGCGGGCTTCTTGTTGTTGTTCAGGAGTTGATCCCGCCCCTGCCCCCGCCTCGACGTAAGCGTGACGTATGTGGTGCTTTTGCTCTGGCCGGACAATTTTTTGGTGCTTGAAACGAAGCTAAGAGGCTGCTCCGCTGCGGTGTGAAGAGGAAAACCCGATGCTTTTCAAGCTCCAGCTCCGAACCGGCCCCGAAACACCATTGGTGTGAATGAGGTACTAAAGGGGATTAGAACACTGACAACAGGGTGACGGACAAATAGATTTGACCCTAAATAATGTTGAATAGATAGTGATCTGAGATGTAAAGTGCTCAACATCAGGCCAACAAAATAAAGTGTCACTATTTGTTGTCAAAAAGGTACGTGTACTTTCTTACAATCCCAATGTGGCTGTTAAATTAAGAGTAAAGTGATACATTTAGGCATTGACCTAGTTGAAACTAACCGCATCAGATAATGTAGGATTGGAAGCAAAATATTACACAGGTGGTTCATAAAGAGTGTAAAACATACCATCAATTCATACAAATACACTGCATTCGATAATATAACAAGAAAGCTCAAGCCATAAAAAATACCTGACAATGTCTAAAAAGTAATTAAACATTGCAACATTCAAAAAGATAGAATAAGGGACATCATAATACAAAATGAAGAAGTGCAGCTCAACCAGATAACGTGTTATTGTCTAAAGACTGTCTATAAACAGTCAGTGCCTCTGCATCAGGTACAGCAAATGTTTTGTCTCTGTGTCCACTTAAAATCAATTCAAACACCATGACACAATTCCATCAGATTAATGATAAAAACCTAGAGGACATTATACAACTTCTGAAATCCTCCTCCTGCTGCCTTGATATTATTCCAACAGGGTTTTTCAAAGATGTTTTGCCCTGCATGGCCTCAGATCTACTTCATATAGTAAACAAGTCTCTTCACTCAGGTGTTTTTCCACAGGCCCTGAAAACTGCATACATTAAACCGCTCTTAAAAAATAATAATCTAGATGCTTCAGTAATGAACAATTACAGGCCCATATCAAACCTCCCATTTCTCGGTAAAATCATTGAAAAAGTGGTTTTTCAACAGTTGAGTAATTTCTTGCATTTAAATAACTGTTTCGATGTGTTCCAGTCAGGCTTTCGTCCAAACCACAGCACTGAGACTGCTCTTGTAAAGGTCTTTAATGACATCCACTTAAACACAGACAGTGGCAGAACTTCAGTTTTAGTATTATTAGATCTCAGTGCTGCGTTTGACACTGTTGACCACAGCATATTACTAGACCGACTGGAAAACTGGGTGGGACTTTCGGAAACAGTTCTAAATTGGTTTGAATCCTACTTAAAGGACAGAAACAACTTTGTTTCTATAGGTAAATACACATCTGACATTGTGGGGTTCCTCAAGGCTCCATCTTGGGGCCTCTTCTCTTTAACATCTACATGCTACCACTGGCTCAGATAATGAAAAACAACAAAATAAGTTACCATAGCTATGCGGATGACACACAAATTTACATAACCATTTCACCAGGAGACTATGCTCCAGTTAAAACACTGAGTAAGTGCATTGAACAAATCAATGACTGGATGTGTCAGAACTTTCTCCAATTAAACAAAGACAAAACTGAGGTAATGGTTTTTGGAGCCAAGGCAGAACGTATAAAACTTAGCGCTGAGCTTCAGTGTGCAATGTTCAAAACAACAGATAAAGCCAGAAATCTAGGTGTAGTCATGGACTCTGACCTGAGTTTCAACAGTCACATTAAAACAGTTACTAAATCAGCCTACTATCACCTAAAGAATATATCTAGGATTAAAAGACTAATGTCACAGCAGGATTTGGAAAAACGTGTCCATGCTTTTATCTTCAGTAGACTGGACTACTGCAATGGTGTCTTCACAGGTCTCACTAAAAAATCTATTAGAAAGCTGCAGCTGATTCAGAACGCCGCTGCTCGAGTCCTCACGAACACTAAGAAAGTGGATCACATCACTCCAGTTCTGAAGTCTTTACACTGGCTTCCTGTGTGTCAAAGAATATATTTCAAAATAATGCTGCTGGTTTATAAAGCACTGAATGGTTTAGTCAGAACTAAACGGAGAAGCCGCGTTCAGTTATTATGCTCCAAATATCTGGAACAAACTCCCAGAAACCTGCCGGTCCGCTGCAACTCTCACTACTTTTAAATCCAGGCTGAAGACTTTTCTTTTTGTCGCTGCTTTTAATTGAAACTGAGCCGTTGTGTTCATCAGTAAAGTGGAACTTCTGTGTGAACTATTCATATCTTAAATGGCACTGTAACTTTTTATTCATGTACTTTTTATTCATGTATTTTTTATTATCTTTTCTTCTTAATGACTGTTTTTAAATGCCTTTGTCTGAATGTCTTTCATTTTTGTAAAGCACCTTGAATTGCCTTGTGTTGAAAGGTGCTATATAAATAAACTTGCCTTGCCTTATAAATGTGCATAAACTATTTCCAACGTACTGAAAGTTTAAGTCAAAGTGTTAAACTGTCAGATCTACAACAACATGCTGCTCTGGGTTGGGCTTGCTTGTCACATTGCTAAAAAGGTGATTATTTCTTAACATTTTAAACAGAAGTCAATGATTGTTGACACTGACTTTTTGTCTTCCAACGCATAACATCACCTGGCTTAAGCAAATACTAAACTGTTGATACCTGCAGTGCAATATGGATTTCATTTCGTAAGGCAATTGCACAATGATTCCTTTGCTAAACGATACCATCCTCATTGGTACATAACCATGCTACAACATGTCAAGTACTTAAACAAAGACAACCTACATTTCAACAGCCGAGAATCACAGTTGGGCAGTTACACGGGTAAAATAACATTTGACAGAAAGTTAAAACGAGCAAAACTTTGTCTAACAGCACTGTCCTTCAGTTTTTAATCGAACACATTTACATAAGGCATGGGTTACTGAAATATAACAACAGCATATCCTGGTTTGGGCGTGTACCAAGAGCTAAATCAATAGACTAATGAAACATTATTAACACATCCAAACAAAACTACTTGGTAAGGTTTAGGCGATAATTTGACTTGGATACGTTTAGTTAAATATAATGGTTTGGCTTTGAATAAGTACAATTATATTATTAAAGTTACAGACTTAAATTAAAACAAGGGAACTTTGACTTTTGGTTCCACACAGGACATAAACAGCGACCTCCTGGGTGAAAGTATTTTTGCTTTTTTTTAACCATCTATCTAACCCAGGCAATGATTTTAATCTTATGTGATAGGTGAACACCAAATGTAGTGGGGCGGAAATAAGTCTTCCTCTAAACATAACATACAGTAAAGTAGAGTTTTGTTGTATGAGAATGCAATTTAAGATATCCAGCATTAACATGAAGAATAATGTGTGATAACACCAGAGTGACATCTCTCAGTCTGCTCACACAGCCCTGCAAATCAACACCCACTCGACACAACACATGAGATGGCATCCTGCGCCCACAGCTTTGTGATGGTAATGAGAGGAGAGTACAGTAAGTGACCATAGCAACCACTGGGCACTTCTTCACATCTGAACACATTGCTGTTTGATAGATCACCCGTCGGAAAAATGCTAACACACACAGCCATGCAAGACAAAATAGAGATTTATTTCAATGACTCATGAAGTTGAATTCTCACGCTAGCCCATTAAAGCTACTTTTGTGAAAATCAGCATGCATGCAAATAACAAGTTTTACGGAGGAATACACGCATCGTTCATGTTTACCATTCATATCACAACACTTGCATACTACTAAAAGACTTCAGTGATGAGTGATAGCAGCATGCCAACATGCTATAAGCCCACCATTCGGCCATTGAAACAGCCAAGGCAGAGCAGGACACTGCTGCAGTCCCCACGGTGTGCAGACCCCCACATGGCTCAGACGCTCCCTCAACACTCCCACAATTCAGAGGCTTAAATCCAGTATTCCCCTGTCTCTGGACACACCTCACTGAGGAACAAAAGGGAAGAGGAGGAGGAGGAGGAGGAGGAGGAGGAAAAGCCACAGCTAATAGCTCATCAAGTAAAAGAAGAAAGCAGCTACAAGAGAGGGTAAAGAGGAAGAGGAAAAGTCATTTTCTCCATAGCAGTCGAGGGAGTGGCAGACACTCGCTGCTCCGTGAAGCAGAGGAGATGGGAAGAGGACGAGTCTTGAGATTCCCCCGCAGAGTGAAGCAGGTCTGCTCTCAGGCACACACATGGACCCAAAGACGCACACGTACATGCACTCCACTCCTGCTGCGAAACTAAATCAACGGACCACACACCCGGATATGTGAAACCTTTTTATGTTGTCCATCTTTTTGTCTGGCATCCATTTCTGAGCTAGCAAGCATGACTGTGTGTTTGCATGTAAGAGATGGAGTGAGAGAGGGAGAGAAATTAACAGTGCATGCATATATGTATGAGAGAGAGGAAGAGAGAGAGAGGGGAGAGAGAGAAGGGGAGTGATAAACCACTAAACTACCAAATAGGTTTGTGCGTGAAGCAGCTTGAGAGAGAGAGAGAGAGAGAGAGAGAGAGGAGAAAACAACATGTATCTGCTTTATTTCAATCTACCTGACCCCCCCTTTATCTTTTCTTTTTTCTACCAACTAATATTCCATTGTAAAGCTTGATCTGGGTCAATAGTGTTCAGACTGTGCCAACAACCGGCCTGAAGAAGTGGTGGAAACACTATGAATAAATACAGAGTTTTTTACCCATTGCCTCCCATATCACCCCTCTGAATCCGACAGAATGGAACAGTCTTCTCGGTATGATCGAGTGTTTTATATGTCCCTCTTGATTTTAGTTGCTGTGAGAACAGGCGATAACAAAAATGAATTATTCATCAAGAGCTGCACTTAAGTCCCTACACTTAGCACAACTTTTCCACCACCACCAACACAAACACACACACGCATTCAAACACAAATGGACTTGAACAAAAACAGTTTTTCCCCTTGTACGATAACAGCCTAATTGTGCCTTTCAATGTAATCATGTTACAACAGTTTGACTCATATTCAAACACAATTATTGTAAGATATTCACATAACTGGTAGATACAAAAGTAACCCTCAATAAGTAGCTTTAGAAAGTGTTATAAAATATGTATTTGAAGTCACTTCCCAGAGCTCCACGACAATATGCTGACATTAAGGTGAATGCTAGAGGCAGATATAGATTAAATTAAAAGGAAGAAACAATTGAAAATATAATATTGGGTAACAGATGTGACAAATTTGGCTCAGTGTGTGTTTGTATGTGTTCTACTTTCACAGTATTTGTGATCATTTAATTATTGTCAGTTCTATGAAAATGAAAACTACAAATATAATGTCATTTTCGGAACAAGATGTGATTATGTCGCAGTAAAAGAGGCTATTCTATGGTAGGCTGAATGATTTCAA